TGCCCCCTGCACCGCTCACAGTGCCTCCGCCGCCCCCACCACCACCTCCACCACCTCCACTCCCACGACCACCCCCACCACCTCCACCTCCCCCGCTGCCTGCACCACCGCCACCTCCACCGCCACCCCCACCGCCCTTTATCACCCCTGCCGCCCCTGCCGCTGCGACGCTTCCCTCTAGGAGCGGAAGCAGCTCCGACCTCCTCAGCACCAAGGTAGTCGTGAGCAGTAGCTGCGGAGGCGTAGGAGGGGGTGAGAGGGGAGGGGGAGCACCCCTCAAAGAGGGGAGAGCGGGGAGTGCCACGAGCAGCACCTACAGCGAGGATGTTCTTCTCTGCTGCGAGGAGGTGCTTCTCGAAGTCGTCGACAATGAGAGTGGTGGGGTCTAGCGCTAGGAAGTGGTCCCTGACAGAGCTAAGAGTGTCAGGGAGACGAGTGACGAGGAAATAGAGAGTGAAGTACATCGGGGGGGGGGGGGGGGGGGGTTTGCAGCGCAGAACTCGGCTGAAAGGGCGGCACGAAAGCGAGAGTCAGTAGCGCGCAGGTGAGAAACGAGGTCCTCAGCAGTGGTGAACGAGGAAAGATCGGGGAACAGGTACGGTAGCATGAGTCGACCTATGGCTGCAGTGGCCGGGGAGGAGTAGCGCGCAACTACAGCGTCGTACAGTATCCTAGCAGTTCTGTGCTGGCTGAAATGCGCTCGCTCAGTAATCGGCAGGTGGTTCCTAATAGCTAGGCGTGCAGCAGCATCACGAGTCTACCACTGGGAGCGTTCGAGAGCAGGAGCATCAGCAGCAGGAGTAACGGCAGTGCCAGAGACGTAATCAAACAGGGAAACGCCCTCTTTGGCATCAGTCAGAAGGAACAGCTGGAGATCGTCTAACCACACAGCGAACTCGATGGGACGACCGTCAGGCTCGAACGCTAGAACGTTAGGCGTCATCATATTGGCTTAAGGCAGGAGGCAGCAGGCAGCAGGCAGAGGCAGCAGGCAGCAGACAGGAGGCAGGAGGCAGAGGCAGCAGGCAGCAGGCAGCAGACAAGAGGCAGCAGGCACCAGGTAGGAGGCAGGAGGCAGAGGCAGGAGGCAGAGGCAGCAAGCAGCAGGCAGGCGGCAGCAGGCAGCAGGCAGGAGCGGCCTGAGGGCTGCGTGCGGCTGCTGGCTGCGCTCGGAGCGCGTGGCGGGAAGAAAAAACGTCGCGCGCCAGGGGGCGCGCGATAGACAGGGCAGGACAACGGAAGCAGGTGGGCCCAGGCACAGGATCGACCCGGGAGGGTCGACCTGCTCTGATTCCATGTTAGAATCTGGAAGGAATGAATGAAACAGAGAAGAGTGGTTTCACTAGCACGTAGTTGAGTACATATAGCAAACCCTAGGTTGGGCTCTACTCACTATTGAGTACCCCACTGCAGGCTACACAAATATAACATTCTGACACATGCCTGCATAGGAGTTACGCTGGCTCACCTACCTGCTGACCGACTTGGGAGAGGCGCCTCGTTCTCCTCCAGTTCTGTACGTCGACAACAAGGCCATGCTTGCCTTGTGTCAGGAGCACAGACTGGAGCACAGAACAAAGCACATTGCTCTGCGCTACTTCCTTGCTCGAGAGTTGCGGCAGCGTGGCCAGCTTCGTCTTGCTTACGTGGCCTCACAGGCCAACACTGCTGATGTTTTCACCAAGGCACTTCAGCCTTGTGATCATCAGCGTTTCTGTACTGTCCTAGGCCTTGTACCTACTGTGCCTCACTTGCTTACTTCTTGACTCTGCTTGTACTGTACTCTATATACATATACCTGCATGCTTACACTTGCTAGGTTGTGTTCACTGTATTGTTTGTTCTCCTTTATATAACTCTGCATGTGAACTGGCCTTGTGGCCATTTGCTTGTGCTTAGACTGCGTGGTGACTTTGTGATCCACCCTGAGCTTGCTTTGCCTTTCTTGACTGGTCTTGTGACCTCTTTTTCTCCCCCACTTTGCCTATGGGGGTGTGTCAAACATATATGCTATAGTCTATCTAGGCTGTAGTGGGGTAGTTCTTATAGGGTACAACACTTTTAGGTTTCATACTTGTACCCACATTCTTGCTAGTTCAGTCATTCATTCGGTCAATATTCTAACACGTTTGCTGGTGCATTCACTGTTGATTGCAGGCGAGCGGAGTCGCGTTCCGCCGTGAGTGTGGCGATTTCGAGGGCCGAGTCCTCGAGTTGGCGTACAAGACGGTCGAGTTGCTCTTGCATCAGTGTTGCGAGGGTGATTTCAGCCATGGCGGGGGTGTCGGGCAAACTCAGCGAGAGCCTCTGTCGTGGCCGTGCGTGCTTACAAGAGAGCACTACGAGCGGCGGTGCTTGATCGCTGAGAGACGTCTACCCCCCCCAAAATAAATTGAGATAGTGGGGAAGCGAAGTTGTGGGTGTGGTCCGAGAGAATATCGTAGGCTCTGATAACCAAGTGTTACGAGTGCAATTGAGTGAACAAGCGAGGATTGCACTATCGAGGCAAGAATACAATGAGCGAAGGTTTGAGCGAAAAATATATAGCGGAGCTACAGTGGTAACGATAACGTGTGGAAAATGGGGTGCGCGACGGGGCTGGTGCCGAGGTTGGGGGACTGTCGAGGCGGGGGTCCGGAGCGCGGGTTACCAATCGAAACGTGAGGTTGGGTCGCATCGTGAACAGTGGCGGGAATGGGGTCGGGGCGAATGTCGCGAGTGGTAACGAAATGTTGTGGGGTGCTGTTGGCGGGAACAGTGGTGTACGCGCTGAGCAGGGACGCGAAGTAAGGAAAAGGGATTTTCCTTTCAGGTAGCCTCTACTGAGTACAACACTTCAGTTCAAACCTAGTACTTGTACTCATCCTTGCTTGCTAGTCAATCATTCCTGCACAGTTGATTCTGACGAACACCCATGCATTTCATTACATTCAGAAAAACATAGCACTTATAGTAAGACCCGGGTCTTTTAGTTTTTATCAAATTTAATAAGACCCCCCACATTTTTTATGAAATCAATAACAGAACCTAGGGTCTTTTATCCGGGTGAGTACGGTTCTAGGATTGATTCCTGCTTAGAGTATGTATTTTGCACTATGGTTGAAATCGTTCATATGGAGAATGTTTCTCATCACGTTGACAAGGTGTAACAACCTCGTCATAAGGTCCTTAAGCTGACCAGCGTTTGACAGCCGTTGACCTTTGGCACGCGTCGTCGAGTTTCTTCGCAACCTGGGTTGGTTGGGATGGGAAGTTCATTGCAGATGGAAAAACGTTGAAACGCCAGGCGTTGACCTGGTAAGCGCTGGCTCATTGCTGCTTCTGTTGTGATGGGCTCACCTCGCTCTGGCAGGGGGGACTTCTTCGCGCTGCAGCACTCCGCAGCAGATTCATCTTGGCCTTCCACGTCAGCTGTCGGTTTGCCCGGCGCAAATCTGTTGGCTTTCATTGAGACGCCGCCGACAGCAATAATCTTGAAATGACACGGACCTTCGCCCAGCTCAATTTGGTCTGGCTTCAGAAAACAGGCAACTAGTCGTCCCCTAACCAGGTTTCGATTTTCTTCTGCCCATGATACCCTGGATTCGTTTTTTCTTCTGTCCGCCAACCAGAAACGAATCACAACAACTCGAGACGGAGATGCGACGCGCTCTGATTGGAAGTCGCAGCGGCTGGCTTGGCCCCTGCGCTGGCTTGGAAATTCGGGTTTGGGGGGGAAGGAAGGGGGGAAGGGGGTCCAGGGGAGCAATCAGGGAGGGAAGCAGAGCAGGGAGACATTGAGGTGGAGCAATGCTGAGTTGGGGAGGGAGGTGCGGCGCGGCCAAGAGTGCTGCGGCGGAGCGGAGCAGCCCTTGCTTCGGATGGGGGGGAGGGAGGCGAAAGATCGAACGCGAGTTCAGGGGCCCATGGCTTCTTTCTCCTCCCATCACGTGGGTGATAAGAATGGTCCGACTAAAACAAACGACGCAATTGTTTCGCTCGTTCTGAGAGTAATCACTAGCTGCGCATCCTTTCAGTCCCTTTGACTAACCTCCATCGCCCAGCGCATCCACCCGATATTCGCCTGCACACTGGAACGCTGATAGCTGTCTTCAGTATCGCAAGGAACGCATTTCTTAACTCGATATCCTCCAGACAACCTCAGATTTCTTTAACTGCCACCTTTGGTTTTCTTCCATTTTATGGTACCTCACGGCGAACTAGTTTCTTACGCTATCAAACTCGTCCGTATCTTCGCCTTATTCCGTTCGTTTTCGTCCAGTCTCCGTCCCCAAATCGTCACGTTGTGGGTTCGGTCAACCCAGACGAACTAGATATTAGCGAGATTTGTCACCACGGGTCGCGCCATCCTTCCGGCGAGCCGAGTTCAGCAACGCAATCGTTTCGCCTGCAAGCCACGCCGATAATACCCGTCACACATCATGGTAATGCTCTCGCGCATGCCTCCTCATGTTCTTAAAGTATTTCTCACTTGCCAAAACGAGCAGCTCAACGGGAGCAGCTCGTGAAAGCTATGGCACTCTTTACTAAAGTATTAGTAATACTTTATCACGATCGTTCCACCCGCTGTATTAGCGCCAAACATCGGTCATGAATCCTCCTTCTTCTCTTCTCATTCTCCAATCCCTTCTACCCCCCCCCTTTTTTCTTGCCTTATTCCCCCTCCCTCTCGTTCCTCTCGTTCCTCGCGCCGCCCTCATCCGCGACAGGCGCGAGTCGCAACACCCAAGTTCGGCGAGTGGATAGGAAGCAACACGTTGACGCGTCACGACGGCTACTCCGCCAGGTTCGCTCAAAGGCGCGCCGATCACTGTCGCACAACCTTCCCCGATTCCGAAACCGCGCCGGCCGCCCCAGCGCGATTCACGGCCCCCAGGGAATCCTCCCCCCCTACGAGGCGTCACGCTGAATATTCCACTAGTACTATTAAGCTCGTTACTACTGGTACTTCCCCGTCTCTCGCGTCCATCCGCCGCCGCCACCGCATCGTCGCCGCCACTATGCCGGCTTCCACGGCGGCTGCGGCGCTCGCGGCGGTGAGGGCGGCGCGGGAATCTTCCGGTGGAGACTACGGCGCCAGCGACGGCGAAGGCAACGAGTTCTGCCCGTCTGAGGTGATTACCAGCGGGAAACGCGGCGGCGCCGGCCGTGGCGGGAGAATCCGCGCCGTTGATCTATTCGCAAGGCAGGCCGCCGAGGAATCGACGACCACTAAGCACGACACCGCATCCGCAGGTTTCGCGGACCAATCGTCGGCCTCTATTAGTAAAAGTAAGGCTACCACTAAAGCGGCTGCTAGAGGAAGCGTTAGAAACGGCTCCCTTCGAGGGTCGTATCGCGGTGGTGGTGCAGGCAGGGCTAAGCCCAAGTCTTTAAAGGAGTACGAGGCGCAGCTGCTACTGCTGGCGGAGCGCCTTCGACTGGATGATAGTCCCGAGGACGAGCAGGCGGCGGCGGCCGCCGCGGCGCGGCTGCTGCTGGCGGCGGGGAGGATGGGAGATCCCGAGGCGAAGCTTCGACTTGCCGCTGCTGTGCTGGCGAGTCCCACTCCTGACGCTGCTTCGATAGCGGAGACTGTGAATGGGTCGATGGGGGATGATGAGGAGCGGCAGGAGGTAAATGAGGACGAGAAGGGGGAAGCGGAGGAAGGAGATGGGGAAGTGGAGGTTGAAGAGGAGGAGGAAGAGGAGGAGGACGAGGAGAAGGAGATGGAGGAGCGTAGGGAGAAGAGCCACTCTATTGTGAAGGAATGGCATGGACGCAAGGGCCAGACGGAATGGTCTAACCAGCTTCACGTGGTGATGCCCCCGCCAGTCACACCAGAAGCAACATCACCATCAACGGTGTTAACATCATCACTATCAACACCATCATCTCTCACCACAATGGCATCATCAGCCGTACTATCACCATCACCATCACCATTACCGTCACCATCACCATCACCATCACCATCACCATCACCATCACCATCACCATCACCATCACCATCACCCTCAACACCATCAGCGGCACCATCACCCTCAGCAGCAGCAGCAGCAGCAGCAGCTGCACGGCCGCCCATTCCCCCCAAGCTTGCTCACAGGTTGCCGACCATCCCCGCTCTTCCCGATTCATTCGCTGGTAGGCAGGCTACAGCTGCTGCTGCTGTTGCTGCTGCAGCTGCCAGCAAGCTTGTTCCCCGCAGGCCAGCCAGCCCACGGTCAACTAGCGGCGGCCTATCCCGCCCGCCGTATTTCCCCAAGTCCTCCTCTTTGAACAACGCCCTGCCGTTGCCACCCGCTCGGCTGCTCTCCACGCTCTCTGTGAAAGGGTCCTCGTCTTCTGCCTCTGCTGCTAGCTTTGCTGCTTCTGCTGCTGCTGCTTCGGGTGATGGCGCTGGCGCGGAGGAGGCAGCTGCTGCTGCCGCCGCTGCCGCTGCTGCCGCTGCGGCTGTTGCACGTGCCCCTAAGACAAGACCAGGTATGCACCCTGCGAATGCCAACTCAAATTCACATAAAAAGCTGAAGCATTACCTTTGTCTGATGTTCTATGCCAATCACTCACTCCCTATCATCCTTTTCTTCCTCTGCTACCCCTTGCCAGCAATCGGAGTCCCAATATTTGGCAACTTTGAGGAAGCCGACGGGTTCTCAGCAGACTTCAATCGGGTGAGGGCGATACGTAATGGCACGACAGCAGTGACACCAGCTGCCAGCAGCTTCGGCATCACAGTCAACGCGCCTCTCAGCCGCCATGCCCAGTACAAGTTCCAAGTTGCTGCTGCTGCAGCCGCAGCAGCTTCTGCTGCCAATGCTGCTGCTGCTGCTGCCGCTGGTACTACTGCTGGGGGTAGTGTTAATGGCAACAGCAGGACTGTTTCTGGTCCTGGGGCATCACGCCTTGGTGCCAGTCCTGTGCCACCTGCTGCCTCTCTTGCTCCTGTTGGTGAGTCTGCAGCCGAGGGTACCTCTGTTGCTCACGCTGCTGTGGCGGCTGAAGCGGCTCAGAGGGCGCATCAGACGCATCTGGTCAACGCTGCTACGGCTCTTTCCCGTGCGTTCTCTTCCCTCACTGACCGTCACTCGCATCAGCATCAGCACCAGCACGACAAAACAGTTGTTGCATCGGCGCCAAATGATGCGACTGCCATTGCTGCTCCTGCTACTGCGGTTTTTGATGCCTCCCTGACGGGCTCTTCTGCACCTTCAGCCCACGATCCAATTCCCGACATAGAAACCGCTCTAGCCTCCATTATTTCCACCCCTGAATCTACCCAAAACGAAACTACCAGTAAGGGGTGCGCTCTGCAGGCAATCCTGAGCGAAGAGGAGTGTCTGAGCGAGGCAACGACTGGCAGCAAGTCCAGCAACCCCTTAGAAGGCTCCTCTGATTCCTCCCGCAACCTCATTCCCAACAGCAGCAGCAGTATCTCTAGTGCTGCTACCAACAGCACTATCACCAGCGGGCCCCTGACCATGATCGTGGGGTGCAGAGCTGCGAAGGCCAGCGTAGGTGCGAGCAGCATTCCCACTGGAGCCCCAGGGCAAGCTTCTGGCCTTGGGCGGTTGAACTGGCTCAGGAACTGGCGTGGAAAGATGGGGATCAAGCTGAAGAGCCGGGCGAGTGTGATCGGCGGTAGCGTGAGTGCAAGGAACAGTGTTGGCGGGAAACCTGGCGTGGGTGTAAGGAGTGGGAGGGTTGCTCCGAGTGTGGTGGAAACGCGGATTGCTGCTGAGGTGGAGGAGCTGGTAGCTGCTGCTGAGCTGGCGGTGGAAGCAGTTGAAGTGGTTGAGGCAGAGGCAGAGAAAGCTGGGGAGGAGGCCGGCAAGGTGGGAGATAAGCAGGAAGGAGAGGCAGTTAAGGAGTCAGAGAGCTGTGCAAATGGAGAGGAAGACGGATGTGAGGAGAATCCGAAGCAGCCTCTGAGCTTGGATGATGAGGTGGTTGTAGCAGCAAGTGCAGAGGACGTTGGAGCAAGTGTTGCAGGTGCAGAAGCTGGGAGTCTGGGGATTAACGGAGCTGGAGACGTAGCAGGCACAGCAGTAGCCTCGGCAGCAACAGCAGCACGAGCAGCAGAAGCTGAAGAAGTAGTGGAGCATGTGAAAGAGGAGGACACAATGGCAGATGCTGTGGCTGCCGCACAGGCAGCAGAGCTCCAGACAGAAAACAAGATAGGGAGAACCAGCACAGGGTCAGCACCAGGGTCCCCAGTGGCAACCTCTCGTGGGAAGGTAGCCATGGCAAGGGCTGCTGCACGGGCACTGCTAGCTGCAGCAGGAGCAGCATTGGTTGCAGGCTCAGCAACCAAAGAACGAGTGGGAAGGCGATGGGAGCAGCAGCGTCATGCCATAGGGCACGCTGCACACGCTGTGCTGAGAAGGCGGCAGAGGGAACAGCAGCCAGAAAACTCCAATGCAAAGGCAGAAGATCAGGGCAAAAGGCTAGGAACAGGAGGTCTTGAGGAGTTGCGGCTGAACGACAAGGTTGTGAATAGTGCGGTGAACCTTGTCTGACAACGGTACACATGTTAACCACACCGAGATGATGGTGGTAACTTGTGCTATGGCATGGCAAAGGAATATGAAGCAGAAATTTGGTGTGTTTTTCTTGCTCCTCAGTGTGCAGTATGAGGGAAGCACGAGCAGTGTGCATGCTTGTTGCTGGTATGATTAGTGCAGTTATATACTCTTGTTACCCTTGCTACCTTAGATCTACACACTGAAATGCGGTGTTGCATCCAGCACATATAATGACCTACACATACCGATTTTACTGCCCTTAAAAATTGCCAAATTGACATGAGCACAAGTTTCCTTGTCTGTGCGTACTGTTTTTTAATCTTTTGGCGCCACTTTGATCTGTGCCGGGAGCTCTTTTATGTTGATTTTTTATACTGTAGCTGAAAAAGAGATGATCACATCATTTGTTTTTTTACTGATGTGTTAACGATGGTGCAATAATATCGCGTAGCTGAAAAACGAGGACAGCGCTGTCAGAATTGAAGTGTCCTTCGCCTGTGCAGTTTGTAAGCACAAAACATCACATATGGTACAACATTTCGAAATTGGCTCTTTGGAGGCCTTCGAAGTGTCCACGATCACTTCAGAACAACTCGACGGGAATCCACTTTTCTGTAATTCGTTCTCCTTCCATGATTATATGACGGGATTGTGAATTGGCCTTCATACCGATCATGGGTTCGTCCAGCGAAGCAATGGAGTGTGAGAAGGGAAATGATGATGCGGCTCTTCTGGTGTGTTATTCCGCCTGCCGTTTCATATGAATGTTTTTTATTTCCTCAGCTTTGACATGTCCTGCATTTCAGGGAGCTCCACCCAGCAACAGCTCGGGAAAGTGTGAAATGGGACTAGTGTTTTCGAAATTCAAGTACAAGCTGCAGTTATTGATGTCCGAGGCCAAATGGGTGCAGGTATATGCTTGACTGGGTGATTTATATGTGTGTCACAGACGAATCATACCATTTAATGTCTGCAGGATAAGGAGGATGAGGGTCAGAACGAGGTCGAAACACTTCGGGAGGTGGGTCCTTCATTTTCGAAATTCAATGTTTTTTTATTATTGTGTGTGTAAATCGCAATCACGTTTCATAAACCGCAGAGAGAACGTCTGCTAATCGAACACTTGGAGAAAGACAAGAAGCAAGTCCTGCAAGACATGGGGAAGGAAAGGTCGAAAGCCGAGAAGGCAAAGTCTGAGGTATTGACGAAAATGCAGGGTACACGAACATATGAATGCATTCTAACACAACTGCGTTGCAGGCCGACGAGCTTCGCAGAGCAACTGACTCGCTTGAATCCAAGATTCGAATGCTGGAAGAGAAGCTGGTAACCCTATCAGAGTCAAAGAAAAAGGCGATAGAGGAGCTTCAGGTATGTGGCGTCAAGTGGTCTCTCAACATCCCACAATTTTCGTTATCTTCATTGACGTTTCTTTAGCGCAGACCACCAACCGCGATCTTGAAAAGCGTCTCCTTGAGAAGTGTTCTGAAGTTTCATGGAGCACTGAACGTCTTGCGCTCCAAACTAGCCTGGTATCCAACATACAAAAAGAGTTTGAAACTATTTGCAACAACTTTTCAGAGACACAAGCTCGCCTAGACGCGTCTGAAAGTACCTGTAAGTGACCTTCTGGAATCCTGAGATCCATCTTGGGATGTTAATCTTACGCCTTACTTCTGTTCGACACAGCTAAATGTTTGGAGGAGCGCCTTGCCAAGGTTACGGATTTGGAAAAGCGCTTCATGGGTAAGCCCTTTTTCTATTTCTGCCAGATCAGTTATGCAATATTCGACCGTAATTTTTTTCTGCAGAAAAACTAAAGCATCTAGAAAGTCGAAGCAAGGAGCTTGCAGACAACTTGAAGGACAAGGAGGCGGAAGTTGCTGCCTTGAAGGAGCAGATTGACTTTTTGGAGATGGACCAGTTCCGGCATGAGACCGAAATGAAGCCAATATCCTAACATACGAAACCCCGCTCTGTTGTTTCATGCGTGTCTGTCTGATTGTGTTGTGCGGCAATCTTGAATTTGTCAGCCTTCATTTGTGTTTTCCTTAACTGCTGTTATCATCACCTCCAGGCAGTCATCGAAGTCAAGGATGCAGAACGTGTTCGAGTTAAAAAAGAGCAAGTGGTATGTTACTCTTTGCGGTCCTTTTTGTTTGACCATAGCTTCGTCACGCAACTCCGTTGACTGCTTGCAGGACATTAAGGAGGAGCTTAACCTGGTCAACTCAGCGCATCTTGAAGCTCAAAGGGCGTGTGTTGAGTATGAAAATCGATCTAAAGAGCTGACGGAGCTAGTGGAAAACTTGCGGCAACAGATTTCAGAACAGGAAGGCCGCCTTTCTGAGGTGGGGACTTTGAGCTACGTTGAATAGAATGTTCAAGGTCCAGTCCAGGTTTGAAGGGTGGGTGGTGTCTTCTCTGACTTGGTTCTTCACATAACACTGTGGCCATTGCAGATGGATTCCGAAAGCTCCACAATCAAGGCAAATGTTGACGAGCTGAATGGTGTGATTGAGAAGATGGAGCAGGAGTAAGCCCTTCTTTTTCTGGGTTCTTGTTAACTCCCGATAGCAGCCATTTCTTAGTCCTTTCATTCTGACCATTTGTTTGTCCCATTTACAGGCGGAAAGAGGAACAGAGAGGTTGGAATGCAACAACTAACGAGTATGAAAAGGAGTCACAATGCCTCAAGCAAAGACTGGAAGAGTTTGAGAATGAAAGGGCTTCACGACCACAACTGATCAGCTCTGGGACCTCGCATAGTGGATTAACAAGTGGGCAAAACAACGGTCCATTGATTTCCCAATTATTGGTCAAAATTGGCTTAACGTTTTTTATGCTTGTGGCAGGCCAAGTTTCCACTGGTACTGGTTGTGAAGATCTCTGGCAGCCTCTTGAGCTGGAGCTTTCTCAGCTGCAGTTGAGATTATGCGAGGTATTTTTGGAAGTTGATCTTCGTTGCAGAACGGGCTCAGGTCCGCGTATTTCTGGAAATTGATTCCACTGCTTCCTTCGTCTGTAACCACTTTCATTCGAGTGCCAACGTTTGTTATGCAGGTGGAATCGAAGTACGTAAATTGGCCAAGGGCGCAGGAGGGTTGTGATACCGAATCTCTACTCAGTATGTTTCCTGCTACGTTGGAAGTTGTGGAATGTCAAGCACTTTTCAATTTCTAACATGGAATACAATCTTAGGTTTATCTGATGCGAGCACTTCGTGCAAAGGCCTTGTGTCCTTCGTTGACCAGCAAGTCAAGGTTAGCTTCGTTGATTGGAATTTAGCCTCTCTGTTTTTTTTTTTTGGTCCTAATCCTTGTGCGCCTTGTGACACTGACACTTGGGGACCTGATTTGCCAGGTCGAATCATTAGGAGGTACGAGCCGTTTCTGCTTCTCTTTCTTCCTAAATCGTTCCTCCTCCAGTGACTCATCGTTTGACTCCCCTTCAGGATCTTTACAACATGCCACAACGTCCACCGAGGGCCTCCCTGAGGTAAGTTTCGAGTAGTAGGACAAAATTTCCGGCCAACCACCGTATTAAATCATGCTTTGGCTGCAGGTCAATGGAGAGCATGAAGTACGATGCAGTGGAGGTCATGGATCAATCAAATCCGCTGTTCAAGGTAAGCAGAATGGCTTGTTCAGTCAGAGGAGATTGCCTAATTTTGCCATGTCTGACGCATCTTTGTGAAAATGAAGGTGGCGTGGATGAAAGGAAGTCTACTCAGGAAGTGTATGGACTGGATGGCCTTGTCTGCTCTGGACTTCTCACTCCCCTTGAGGCTCAAGGCACACCAAATCAGCACACCCAGACTCAAGAATTCAAAGGCAGTCAGGCTGCTGCATCACAAGAACAGGACTCGCAGCAGAGCACTGGCAGCGGAGGTATGCTGAGCAAGCGAAGGAGAAACAGCTCGTTCAAGGTGCCTCTACCTCCAGCCAATCGTGCTAAGTCAAGTCAGGGGACAGACTCACAAGGACCAAGTTCTCAGAAGATTAAGCCACTGGTGTCGAGTTCAGTGTGCGCTGAACCTGAATTTGGTGCTTCACAATTCGCTGAGGATAAGGAGCCCTCAGTGGCAGACAACGTTCTCCCTGAAAAGGAAGGCGCTCACATTGTTCTGCAGGTCAAGGCCCCTCCGGAGCTGGATGTCATGCACTGGTACAAGGATCTCTTCCAAACTAGTCAGTCACTTGTCCTTTCTCCTGACCAACTACTAGCAATCACACAAGCTCAGTCGCAAAAGGCGGGCAAGGTTGACGGAGCAACAGCAGATGTGATTTTGAGTGAATCCACCTGCGCTGGAGATGACAACAAGGACGAGGCTATCGCTACTACAAATAGTGGAGGCAAAGATGGGGATCCAGCTGTCCTGGCTGAGAATGCCAGTCGATTTGAGGAGCAGCTACAGAAAGGAGGTTTGACAGCTGAGTCTGATTCCAACAATACTGCACCTGAGCCTAGCAAGTCAACCACTGTGGAGGCAACAGATAAGGTGTGTGTGGAGGCCCAGGGCAACCTCGGTCAACCTGTCCCTGGAGAGTTTCCATCAGCGAAAGATGCAGTTGCTGCTGAAGTGGCTGCACCTTCCCAGGAAGAAAAGTGTGGGATTACCAACGCAACCATCTTTGACTTGAAGGCCAGTGATCTGTCGGGCAACAGTGACTGTGCGGAGCTTGAAATTGTCCCCACACAGCTTTTGGGAATGCAGAGCATGTCTTACAGCTCCTCAGCAGCGGGCAGCAGCTCTGCCGAGTCTTTAGCACAGAAGAAAGCTGTTTTCACTGCAGTTCCAGCCAACCAAGGACTGGCTGAACTTCCGGAAAGTATTTCATCGTTTTCAGCACAGGTAAAGCACGTCCCTATCTTGTTTTTTCTGGTCGCCAGTACTATAATTGCTCAATGTCCCCACCTGGAACTTTTGCAGGGGATTATGGAGGACATTGTCGCAAATGAGAAAGGCAGTGGCATCGCTGTGCATCCTCATGTCTCTGTGGAGGCTGAAAAATCACAGGGTGTTTTGGAACATGGTATTCGTTCTGACTCGACTGATGTATCCCCTGTAAGTTCCTACCTTCCGATTTTGATTTTGTTTTTTTATGCATTTTTTTCCAGCTTTGTAAGCCATCGAATCCATCCAATCTTACAGGTAAAGTGTATGGACTGTGCCAAGGAAATCAATGGATGCCTGCCATGGCAAGGGTCAGACGAACCTGCCAAGTGTGCTGAATGCAAAGAGCAGCCTGCCAAAAAGAGGAGGAGAATGGTCCCCATCAAGGAACGAAGAAAATCTCCCACAGCATGATCCACCAGACAGAATCAGCGTTCTATTCGAGGGTGGCTCAAGGTGGGAATTTGCAGCAGGCGTTCAAAAAACATGTAATGACGCGGTTTGGGATTTTTTTTTACTTGGTTCATGCGCTGGAATCTGTGTCGGGTGTCGGATGTATATTATTAGACATTTTTCTGCCACTAATTTTCATGTTTGTTACACTCTTAAAGATACTTGCCATTTAGAAATCGTTGATGTTATGGTAAATTGGATGCCATAAGGGAAGTGAAAAGGTCTGAACTTCTTTGGTCATGCATTTCCTGATCGAAATCGATTTTCATTATTGCGGGTTTGGTTTCTGGATTAGTAGGTTGATAGAGAGGACGGTTCCAACCAGTTGCAGTTGGATGAGGGCACCCTCGACTTCCTTAGAACGGATCTGTTCTGGCATTTAATTACCACGCTTGGTGAATCGTCTGATCCCGTTCCCGCGGTAACCGTTCCGAAGCCTCTCAGCCGCATCATGGTTGCGTGTAATGGTTTGCGACTACGAGGGTAGGCAGAGTAACAACTGGACAAAATTGTTATCGTGCACCCTATTTATGGCACGTCCTTAATTCAGAACAGGCCCTCCAAACCGATTCCTCTCTGAATTTGGCTTAACTCACTGGCAGCCATGTCTGGTCAGTCATCGTCCACTCGAAGTGCCTTCGCGCTACCACTACGGCTGTCCTTACCAACCTCTATATCCACCTCTTTCCTCCCGCGCTCCCTCCGCTCCTTCCTTTCCTCCATCTTCATCCCCATTCCATCGCCTACGGCCACCTCCTCAACCGCCTCCTCTTATCTCAGCCCCACGGCCGCCTTCTTCTATGCTCTACCACGCGTGCTCCTGATCGTATCCGCGGTTTGCTTGCTATGGCGGATCGTGGAGGAACCCACCGATTGCTCGCTGCTTCCTGCCGTGCGCCTGCAGGGGGCCTGCGGGTACTCAGATGTTGAGTTAAAGCGTATCCTAGCCATGGAGCATGGCTACACTCGTGGCTCGCCGCGATACTATTTTCTTGGAAGGTAGTTGCGACTGTTCCGCGAAATGGGGTTCAATTTTTTGTTCCAGTGAGGAGGATTTAAATTGGTTTTGAAAAACAGCAGATATTGAATCCCCGCTTCTCATTCCTCGTAGATTATCTTTTTTGCGTGGTCCTCTCATGGGTGTGAATGTGGGTGTGGATGGAGGATTTGAATTTGCAATGTGCATGCCCGTATGCATGTGAGCAGGTGGATGCATTACATCACACTCAATTACGAGCTCACCATGGCCAAACCAAATCCAAAAAAGGTTAGTCTTTACAGCAATTTTATCCCGTCACAGTTGTGTTCACTCGCACTTGGCTCTCTTTCCTCATAGGCTGTCATCCACTTAGCAGTCCTCCCATACGTACTTGCGAGCACCTGTGAATCTACAAGCTTTTGCATCTCCATTAGCAACTTCATTAACATTCAGTTGCACTTTTCTGCACCTACTTCCCCCCGCACTCCTCCCTCTCCTTCCAATCCCCCAATACACCCCCTCGGCCCCGCACCCCACACACTCACACCCAACCCCATCTCCTTCCCTCTTCCCCCATTTCCCAACCCCATTCACAAACCTCGTCTCACCACACCGTTATGCATGCACGCAGGACAACCTAGCAGTGCCGCCATGCGTGCTTGTGAGCGTGGAGGGCGAGGTGCCGTGCCTGACGGGCACGAGCTGCATCATCCCCTTCTACCTGCGCCCACACACGTCAGACAGCATGGTGCTGCGCGTGCACTTTGAGAATTCCCCCACGCCCTTCTCCGTGCTGCGCCGAGAGACCAAGCAGAAGCGGTTCACTGCGGTGCTGGACGGTGGGGCTAACATTGGCATCACGACCACTGTGCTCGCTCTCATGTGAGTCTCCAGGGGAACTATTGGCTTTGTGCAAGACATGTTGCTTGGGTAGTGTTATGTACATCATACGTGGCTGGCATGTGTTGTGCATGCAGCATGTGGGTGATGTTAGATGTAGGGTAGGTTGAACGCATTAGACATGCTCCTTTCATGGAACAGCATGAATGTTGGCAGACATGTGGGTTCTTCCCTCACTTCCTCCCGAGTATATCCGTTGCAGGCAAAAACAGCCGCTCGATTAAGAATATGCGTGAAGGAATATTCTCAGTTGGGTCGGGGTTCGACTTTTGATCTTATGGATATCAGTCAGTGTGCAAGGCAGCCTGTCAGCCTCGACCATCTCCTTCGTCCCCCATGCCCCTGCGTGCATGTGGTGCATCTGGTTGCCTCGTGGACCATGAGATTGGTGTGGCACATATGGCATTGCTGGCATGGCATGGCATGGCATGGCATGTCATTACTGGCATGGCATGGCATTGCTGACATGGCATGGCATGGTATGGTATGGCATGTCCGTGTACCAGGTTCCCGCATGCGCGCATAGTGGCAGTGGAGTCATCAGAGGAGAACTATCGCATGCTCAGACTCAACACCTTCGCCCTGCCCAATGTCGTCGCCTTCCGTGCTGCCCTCTGGAACAAACTCAAGTGAGTCAGTGTGTAGTGTACGGACATGCTGGCATGGCACACTCACACCAAGTGAAGAGGGCAGAAGTATCACACTCGCCGTGGATTCCCACACCTTCCCCTGCCCGTCTTTGCCCACCCTTCCGTCCTTTCATTCCCTTCCTTCCTTTTCCTACTTGCTCATTCGCACCCCTACTTCCCCCTGCCTGTCATCACAGCGAGCCCCTGTCAGTGCACATGGACCCACGCAGCCACGGGTACTGGACTCTAATGACGTCCATCCCGGGCCAGGAGAGGGGTCTGAAGCAATACGGCATCGCGCACACGGTGACCGTGCCGTGGCTCATAGAGATCACAGGCGTGCCGGGCTTTGATCTCGTCAAGCTGGACGTGGAAGGCAGCGAGCGCGAGGTGTTCACGCCTGTAGAAGGGTGCGTGGGGGTGGGGGAGAGGAGGAGGGGGGAGGGTGGGGGAAGGGTTGTCTGCGCTTTTGAAGGGAGGGGGGAGGGAAGGGGTGTTTTGGATTTTCAAGGGAGGCGGGTGGTATCGCGTGGAGAGGATGGAACGAAGGGAGTGGGAAGTCTCAATGGCCTGTCTGAGGGATGTGAGAAGGTGCTCGCTCGTTGAGTTCCATGGGAGAGGTGCCAGTCAGGGCAGAGGCAGGGGTTTAATGCATGCATTCAGCATGGATCCTGCCACTTTTCACTTCCCTCACAGCTACCACATCCCACACACCCTCCCCTTCCCACCCCCTCTCCACTCCCTACCGTCTCTCCCGTGTCGTCCTTCCCCTCCCCAGCTCGGGCCGGAACCCAGGCTACACGCTTTCCTGGCTGAACGTGCAGATGGCTCTCATTGCCACGCACGAGGGGCTGCGCCCGCTCTCAACCAACCCACCCCCCTTTCCCCTCCTCCATTCCCCAGCTCGGGCCGGGACCCAGGCTACACGCTCTCCTGGCTGAACCACGTGCAGATGGCTCTCATTGCCACACACGAGGGGCTGCGGCGCGGGGGGCAGGAGGCGGTGCGGCAGGCGTTTGACCTGGGGCGGTTCTCCCTGGAGCTGGGGGGCTCGCACTATGTGTATCGTAGCAAGGACGTGTTTGATGATGACATGGTGGGTGTTGGTGCTGGTGGGGGCGGGGGTGGGATTGCTGGTGAGATTGCTGGTGGGGGTGCTAGTGCTGGTGAGGGCGTGGATGTGGTTTTGGGGGTGGGTGGGTGTGGATGCAGGTGTGTGGATGATCATGTGGGGCTAGTTTAAGGAACCTCAGTAGTGCAGCGGGGGGGTCAATCTATGTGCACAGTGTGCTGCACAGTAGCGTGATTTTATGAGGCTGGCATGGCATGGCATGGCATGGCATGGCTCCATGCAGCAGCTTTTTAGACGTCTCAGAAATTGTCTCCCCTGCAGCACCTTCTGTTAGATGTTGGCGTGATGGTTGTGGGTGCGTGGGCCGGGCTGGGCTGGGCTTCTTGGCTGTTGCAGTGGTGGTGTTGCTGTGTTTGGTATTGTACGTGCTGAAAGCACCGAGTGTCCTGCTCTCTGTAGCACATGAGCAGTCACTGTGCTCTGGCCTGCAGTCCATTCTGTGCCCAAGTACCCTCCCACTCTTCCCCATTCATGAAATCACTCTGAATCCGTTGATGTCTGTGTTGTTTCTGCCCTGCCCTCTCTCCTGACCACCTCTCTCATCATCTCCTGCCCTCTCACCCTCTCCTACCATGCTCACTGTGTGCAGAGGGAGCAAGCCTTTGCCGCGCTCAAGAGCATGGCAGGGCAGCCAGCAGAGGGGGCGGAGGAGGGCAGTGATGCAGGGGCAGACGCTGGTGCTGACCGCTGATGCTCATCATAACCATGCCTCGTTATGTCATGCCACATGGCTACCGCTGGCTCTTTTGGTCTGTAACATAACATGTGTATGGCGGTCAAGAGCTGTATTGCTTGTAGAGTGTTGCTGACTATGTATTCACTCCATGTTTGAGGTGGCTGTTGGTAGTGTAGTCACATCACAGGCATTGGGAGAACAGTAACAGGTGTGCATGCCATGTTTGCAAATTGTCTGTACCGTACCAAATTCCATTATCCATCTACACGTCCGGTTTAAGATCCTGCACCAATATGCTCCGTTATTAGAAATGGGGAGCTGTTTCCACTTACGTATTCCGGTGCGTAGCACCTCCTGTAAAGTCCCGCCTCCCCTTGTGGGCGGGGCATTTTTCCAAATGACATGTATGAAATCTCTAAGTTTGAAAAGGATTTGATCAATCTTCACTAAGTACAGTAAAAGAAAATACGGTACCGCAGTATAGACTTGCCCTCCAAAGTCGCTCTCAATACGTAGCCTTGAGTGCAGAAAACATAACACACGTGAGCAGATTCTCTTTAGTAAACATTCTCTAGAGCAGACGCCCATTCACTTTTCAGGTTGCAAGACATTCTACCTTCTGCTTAAAAATGCATCCCTATACTAGAGTACAATCTTCAGTACATAATTTCCAGGGGTACACTCAACTCAACCAGGCCTCACGTTTTCAGAGTAAATTACTCTGTTTCTCTGAAAATCAGAGTCATTTTTGAAAGTAACTCTGTACCCGCTGGGTAATTTTTTTGGGACTTCCGATTTCTCTGATTTGTCAGAGTTATGCTGTAGTTTACTCTGAGGCCTCTGGGTTTTTTTTTCGGGGACCGAATTTACTCTGTATAGGGAATACCTGCCGGCCCCCCCTCCCCCGCCCCCCTCCCCTCCCCACCTCCCCCTGCGTTTAGCGGGTTTTCCCCGAATCGTCGAGATCATTCTCCTGATTTCTGTCGTGTGTTGGCGGCAATATGAGCACTGATTGGCTACCGTAGTTTGATAACTTTCCCAACCAGCGCACGATGCCAGCCAGTCCTCTCTCTCTTTATGTCTGAAGTGAACGTCGACGTTTCCCGACGAAACTTTGAGGGACGTCGAGGAATCATGACGGCCGGAACGCTCAATCCGAGGGTTGAGATTCGCCAGCATTCCCCGACGAAACTGTACATCCGTCGACATTTCACTTCAGACACGCTCTTTGGGGGTGTCCGAAGTGAAACGTCGACATCCGTGGACATCCGTTTGGGGATGTCGGTAAATCCTGACGGTTGGAACTGTCGATCCGAGGGATGACATTTACCGACATCCAGCGACATCTATTGACGTTTCACTTCGGACACGCCCTTAGGGCGTGTTCCTACGCTCTTATCAGGCAAACCTCTTGTCAGCCTTGCCTGGTAAAAGTAGCGAGGGTTTTTGGGTTTAGGAAATTTTCAGGGGGAAAAGTAGCGAGCTTGATAAGGGGTTGCCCTGATAAGGGGCCGTAGGAACACGCCCTTAGTCAGATTATCGGTGCCGCCAACACCTCACTCTGAAACATCGCAGTGAGGGGGGAAACGTGGGCGACGCGGAAATGCAAGTACAAAAGGCGTAACAAAAACCTATTAAGGTCATGGTACACCAAACTTAACTAACATCAGAGTAGAGAAAAATATTACTCTGACGTGTCTGGGTTTTTTTTTGAAAGTATAGGGTTACTCTGACAAATCAGAGTAAGGCGCAGGAACAACCCTAGATTTCAGAGTTGGGAAAAAAACTACTCTGGAAATCAGAGTACCTAAAATCCAAAAATAGGCCCTGAACTCAACCACTGTTCTGATTCTATCAAGCACAGCTCCACATATCCTTTGAGAAGCAAGCTAGTGGAGTATGGACTGGCAGCATGCCATCCATGCCCACCTCGGCATGGACTGGCAGTGCACCACACAGGCAGAGAGGAAGGCTGAGCCATGAGCATTGCTACTCCCAAGGCGTGCGGGTGCCCTACTAGGGACTGGCTCTGCCCATCCCCACCTCCGTCAAATGACAACACTGCTGGCCAGACAATGTTGTTACTTGACGGGGGTGGAAGGGGACAGAACCAGTCCGGTTTGGCCCGGAACCGAGGGCTTAGCCAATACTCATGACTTCAACCCCACTCGTGCACTGGCCCAAGCCACAGCCATGCTTGCAAATGAATGCACCTGCAGGAGCGCAAGAGAGACACGTATTAGTATGGAGATAACTACTTCAGAAAAAAACATGCGCATGAGAATGGGAGGACCTAGGCAAGGGCTGGGATTTATCTGTGGTTGAGGAGCTTGGAGTGTGGAGCTGTGCGCACGGTCTTGAGCCTTGAAGCGCCTCAGCAGGCCATGGTGCTCCCATGGATCTTGGGCATGCTGGAGTGTGGAACGGTGCTCAAGGTCTTGGGGGTCCATGGCATGCAGATGGCGCTTGTAGAACCTGCCATGAGGCGAAATAAAACAAGTCAGTGGATGGGGAGTTGAACCACAAATTGGAAAATTTAAAAATAAAAAAGTCAGCAAGCTTTGAGTGAGCAGAGGAGCATTGGAGCGATAAAACAAGGGACAAGGCTGGGGTGCTTCAGCAGGCAATGGTGCTCCCATGGATCTTCTTGGGCATGCTGAGATCCGTTGGTGAAGCAACCTGCAAAGTAAAAACAGAAAAACCAAGTTAGAAATCCAAGTCTATATAGAAAAACGTACTGACATGCAGCAAATGACTATGAAGAGGAGTAAGACGGGACTTACAGCTGGTGGAGAGAGAGGAGGCACCTGCCAGGTGCTGTTGGCAGGTATGTTCACCCCACCTTGGAGCTTAGCAGTGCGGTGCTCCTCTGACGTCATCTGCAGCGTGGCACAATGCCTTGAATAGAACCTGCAAAGAGGTCAAGAAAACAAGGTTAGTAATCAGCAGTGAAGTAAGCATGCAGAAAAAATAATGGTGTTGCAAAAGTGTGCTGCTTACCACAGCAGCCCCACAGAGCCAGTACCTTAACCAAAAACCTGAAGGGGACCTTTCCAAACCTTTACCTGTACCAGACCTTAACCGGGGGAGTGGCTCTGTGGGGGGGTTGATACTTTCAACCTTCACAAGTCCTGGAGCCGGTCCTCTGCTGCCCGCCTTGAAGCATAGAAGGCTGCTGAATGGCGGTTGCTCTTCAGAAGGCTTCTGATGCATGCGGGAGACTATCAGACATAACCTGCAAGTAAAAAAGAAACCAGAATTAGTACATGTCCAAAAGAAGTATTGCAGAAAGAAAGGACTTCGCAAAAAAGAACTTTTGCTGCTGCTTACCACAGCAGCCCCACAGAGCCAGTACCTTAACCAAAAACCTGAAGGGGACCTGACCAAAACCTTGACCTGTACCAGACCTTAACCAGGGGGGTGACTCTGTGGGGGTTTTGACACTTTCAACCTTCACGAGTCCTGGAGCCGGTCCTCTGCTGCCCGCCTTGAAGAATGGAAGGCTGATGAAGGGCGGTTGCTCCTCTGAAGGCTTCTGGTGCATGCGGGAGACCCTCAGACATAACCTGCAAGTTAAAAAAACACCAGAATTAGTACATGTCCAAAAGCAAAGCATGCGGAAAGAAGAAAGGACTTGCAAGCGTTAAAATTGAAAAAACTTGTGCTGCTGCTTACCACAGCAGCCCCACAGAGCCAGTAACTTAACCAAAAACCTGAAGGGGACCTTACCATACCTTGACCTGTACCAGACCTTAACCAGGGGAGTGGCTCTGTGGGGGGGTTGATACTTTCAGCCTTCACAAGTCCTGGAGCTGCTCCTCGAGAAGATCAATGACATTTCAGCCGCCTCGGAGCTAGCGTTGCACCGACGAGATCCCGCGACGAAATGCAGATCCGCGACAAAATGCAGATCCGCGACGAAATGCAGATCCGTGACGAAATGCAGATCCGTGACGATTCAAAGGTTACCATGATGTCCTGCGCATCGAGAGTGAAATAGGGAGGGTCGGCGTTGAAAACAAAACGGAGGGTCGTCGCGTATGTTAATTGAATCAGGTTGTTGATGCGAAAAAACGAAATAGGGATGGTTGCTGTACCTGACATAGAAAACAGCGAAGTTGACGTGCTAACGTGGCTCCCACGGACCACAAAGGAATGAAGCTCTTCGATCCAACCGAACGACCTAGGCCAGGCTGATTGGTGACGACGTTAAAAGGTTATGATGGTTTGAATCTGGTAGAAAAAACGGAAGCCAAGCTCGTCTGGAAACTTTGGAGGTTGCTGAAACGAACTAAAAGATCGAAATGAAGAGCCAGTATTTGAAATCAACCTGCAGACTGCGTGGAAGGTTTGATTGCGGATCGCTGGGATGCGTTATGTGGTGAAGACATCCAACGGTTAGAAACTTGCCTTGCTGAATTTGATGGTGGTCCCAAAAGGTCACCCTGTATAATGGTGGATCAGAAGAATTCGTCGACACCAAGATCAGACCCAGCTTCTGATTGGACCACCTTATGCGGAATCTATCGTCAGAGACCATAACATATCCGGTGTGTTAAGTTTGGGACACGTAAGCTGTTTCAGTGGCCAGAAAAGAGCCGGTGACTGGAGAAATCTAGTGACATGGCCAAGAGCTGCCGCTATTACAACCGACGCGGTTCGTTTCCCGAAGCGTGCTACCAGGATGAGCCGCTCTAATGCTTAGGAGGCGGCTGCAGGGAATAGAGTTGGAGGGAAGGAAGATTTCTCTGGTGGTTCACGAAAGTATTTTGTGGACTGTGGCGACGCTAAAATCTTCGTCAGTCAGGATACGCGCAGATTTGGTGGGCGCAGCCCCATGTGTTGGCCCAGGCTAGGAGGAGCAAATCGAACCGTCCGTTGTTTGCATGAAATGTTCAAGAGTCCAAAATGCATCGAAATGAAGGGAAAATATGTCACAAGTAACCAATATGGGACTCGATAACGTGAATGGTAAAAAAGGAACGCGTACGGTCACTGTATCGGGTTTGCTGACGGGTTTGGTAAGTGGGGTCACAGATTCAGTCACTAACAACAGGTGAAAAATCACGCGAATGGTCACACATGTAACTCCCGCCAATTTTTTTTTTGAAATTCTACAAAATTCCCGCCCGCGCTCAACCAATCAGCTAATTTCTCAAAATACTAAAACCCAGTCGGAATCGGATAATGTTTGGGAACGGATCAACCCTAAACACCTGGCAATTTGTGTTAGGGTTGATTCATCCGAAAATGCATCCAGGTTCGTTTTGGGTAATAACTTTTTTGGGCGGGACTTTCATCTGTGACCATTCGCGTTATTTTTTCCCAGTTGATTGTGACTGATTCCGTGAAACCTTTTATCAAACACGTGAAAACACCCTTTGCAGTGACCGTACCCATTATTTTTTTACCAAACATATTATCGAGACCCTTGTTGATTACGAGTGGCATATTCTCCCCAAAATAAACGGTACACATGCTACACCCATGCGGTTCATTGCACAGTAAAACAATTCAGCACAGCAACAGAACCATTTTGCTTTCAAGAAATATATCAAGAACTACATAAACCGAAAAGGTATCATCTGGTATCATCTCATCTCCTTACTAACCATTTCCATTTGTCTCAACCGCACTGCCACATCAGCATCTGCGGCAGACTTCCTACAGCTAAACCCACCCCACCGTTCTGTATCCATCCCCTCGCCCTCTCTACCCTTATGTGTGCCATTTATCTTCTGGTGATTGCTGATCGTACTTGGAGTATTCACCCTACCCGTGGCCGAATCTATTCTCCCATGCACGATCCCCCTGCTACCCCTCCGGCCACTGCCACTGCTCATTCTCTCCTTCCCCACACTCTCCGCTGCTCTCCCACACACTATACAGTGTAAATCCACCTCCCCCTCCTCGTCTTGCTCCCCCACTCCGCCCCACCCTGTGCCATCCTCCTCACCATCTCCCCCCCACCCTCTACCACTACCATGTATAGCACCTCTCTCATTCACTGCCCCATGTGCACCACTTCCTTTACCCCTCCCCCCTCTCACCTCCCCCACTTTTCTGTCCACACCTCCGACATGAGCGAAGGAAGCCGCTGAGGGGTATGGGGAGGAGGAGGAGAGAGGCGGTGCGAGAGGGGCGGGTGGATGGGCAGCAGCAGAGAGGGAGAGGCAGGAGAGATGGAAACCGTGATGGCAGAAGAACGCAACAAAAGGACCCTCCAGCGATGCTGCATTCTCCAGGCAAACACAGCACCGTCCACTCCCTCCCAACACCTCCATCCCCTCCCCACCCCCGTGCCCTCCTCCCCTCCTCCCGCCTCTCCACTCTCCACCCCCCCAACGCCCTCTCCCCCCACCTGCTCCCCCCCGCCCCAAACCCTCGCCGTCCCCTCCCACCTCCTCCACCCCATCCCCGTCCAACCAATCATTTGAGGCGGCAAACACCCCGGCTGCTCCTGTCGAATCCACTCTAGCTTGGATGGAGTGTAGTGATACGTCAGGTACAAGGGCTTGAACTGGAGCAGAGTCAAGAACTGCATCGATTGCAGTCACGGCTCCTTTGATTGCTCGGTGCGTGTGTGCTGCTAGTGTGGGAAGAGAGTCGAAGAACGGTGAGGTTGATGCTAGGTCAAGAGGAGAGGGCAGGGGGGAAATTGGTGTGGTGCTGGTGGTGTTGGTAAGGGTGTTGGTGGTGGTGCCGGTTGCTGCGGCGGCGGCTGCTGCTGCTGCGGTGGAGGCGGCATCAAAGGCAGCAGCAGATACGGAGGAGAGGAGAGCGAGGGGGAGAGAGGCCTGCTGCTGCTGCTGCTGCTGCTGCTGCTGGTACTGGTGATGATGGTGGTGATGGTGGTGCGGAGAGAGGGGAGGTGAGAGTGTGGTGTGTGTGACAAAGCAGTGGATGGAAGAACCCACTCGGATGCCCTTGATTGATTCTTTCAATTGCTTGGTGAAGAGAACTGTTAAGTCCGCCTGTTGGGGAACAGGGGGGTGTGGGGCGGAAAGGAAGGGAGTTAGTATGGGAGTGTGTGTTTGTGTGTTTAGGTGGGGGGGTGTGGCATAGAGTTTGGGTCAGAAACACAAAAGGAGCTGACTTTTGAGTCGACTCAAAAGTCTGTTTGTGTGTGTAGGTGGGGGGGTGTGGCATAGAGTTTGGGTCAGAAACACAAAAGGAAGAACAGGGAGTGGAGAAAGGAAGAGAGAGCACAGGAGTGTGTGTGTGTGTGTGTGTGTGCGCGTGTGTGTGTGTGTGCGTGTGTGTGTGTGTGTGTGCCTGTGTGTGCGTGTGTGTGTGTGTGTGTGTGTGCCTGTGTGTGCCTGTGTGTGTGGGAAAAAAAACGAAGGTAGGAGGAGCAGAGGGGCAGCAGACCAGGAGGAGGCGGTAGCAGCCTTGGGAGAGGGCGAGCTGGGTGGAATGAGAGAGCACAGGAGTGTGTGTGTGTGTGTGTGTGTGTGTGTGTGTGTGGAAACAAGAAGTAGGAGTAGAGAGGGAGCGGACCAGGAGGATTCGGTAGCAGCCTTGGGAGAGGGCGAGCTGGGTGGTGGTGGCAGATAGCACACCCACTAGGCGCTCCTTCAGCCTGCGCCACACCATTCACACGGATCAAGGGAGTGACAGGGGTGTAGGAGGGGTGTGAGAGGGGTGTAGGAGGGGTGTGAGAGGGGTGTAGGAGGGGTGTGAGAGGGGTGTACGAGGGGTGTGAGAGGGGTGTAGGAGGGGTGTGAGAGGGGTGTAGGAGGGGTGTGAGAGGGGTGTAGGAGGGGTGTGAGCGGGGTGCGGGAGGGGTGTGAGCGGGGTGCAGGAGGGCGTGAGAGGGGTGTAAGCGGGGTGTGAGGGGCAGAAAACGAGAAACGGAGACGATGAGTGGGTGCGCTACTCATGTTGCTTTGACTAAAAGGGAGCGCGCACGAGGAGAGGTATGCAAGAGCTTCAACACGTCCTTCTGTATCTCAAGGACAGTATTGAGAATCTCAAGGACAGTGTTGAGAATCTCAATAGTGACTCCCAACCCACCCAACCCTAACATGAACGCTTCAAGACGTACTCAGACAGAGCAGGTCTTTGTGACGCCCCAGCCCCAAAAGAGGAGGAGGTACGAATAAGAGCACGAGGCGCGAGGGAGTAGTACCGGGGGATGTGGTGGGAGGGCATGGCTAGCTGCACGAGCCGCAGGGCGTCCAGACCTGGTAGGGCCCGGTCAAAGAGTGCTGCTAGCTGCACGTTGTGACAAGGGGGACGGGGAACGAGGTCAGGGGGGGATGACGTGGGCTTGGGTTTTGAGGCACCTCAGAAACACATGCAATGCAGGGCGTCCAGACCCGGGAGAGCACGGTCAAAGAGCGCTGGTAGCTGCACGTTGCATCAAGAAGTAGAGAGGATGGGGGATGGGGGATTTGTGTGTGGGGGGGGGGGGTCGGCATGGATTTTGAAGCACCTCAATGAGGATGGAGGAATGGTCGCATTGGTAGGAATGGTCGCATTGGTAGGAATGGTCGCATTGGTAGGAATGGTCGCATTGGTAGGAATGGTCGCATTGGTAGGAATGGTCGCATTGGTAGGAATGGTCGCATTGGTAGGAATGGTCGCATTGGTAGGAATGGTCGCATTGGTAGGAATGGTCGCATTGGTAGGAATGGTCGCATTGGTAGGAATGGTCGCATTGGTAGGAATGGTCGCATTGGTAGGAATGGTCGCATTGGTAGGAATGGTCGCATTGGTAGGAATGGTCGCATTGGTAGGAATGGTCGCATTGGTAGGAATGGTCGCATTGGTAGGAATGGTCGCATTGGTAGGAATGGTCGCATTGGTAGGAATGGTCGCATTGGTAGGAATGGTCGCATTGGTAGGAATGGTCGCATTGGTAGGAATGGTCGCATTGGTAGGAATGGTCGCATTGGTAGGAATGGTCGCATTGGTAGGAATGGTCGCATTGGTAGGAATGGTCGCATTGGTAGGAATGGTCGCATTGGTAGGATTACATTCCTGATAGAATTACAAGGACGTGGCAGAGAGTGAAGCTATGGGGTTGGAGTGACGGCGGGAGTGGCAGGTGGCAGCAGAATAGTGGGAATTGGGCGGCGAGAGAGCGTTGAGGCGCCTTAGGGGGTGGAATGTTGCGATAAGATGGTGGGATTGGGGTGAAAGGCAGTCATCCAACTTAAAAATTTGACTTCACATCTTATGGAGAGCGAGAGGGAGAGGGAGAGGGGCAGGAAATCGTACAAGGGTGGAGTTGGAGGCAGCTCGCTCCAACAGAGCGAGAGCGAGAGGGAGAGGGAGAGGGGCAGGAAATCGTACAAGGGTGGAGTTGGAGGCAGCTCGCTCCAACAGAGCATCCCACAGGGACTCATCACCACTCTCCCCCACCACATCCAGAGCCTGAGGTAGCGTGAACAGGAAAGAGAGGGGGCGGGGAGGGGATGCGGGGGGGTTGGCAGACTGGCGGTCCTCGATTTTTTTAAATCTTCACTTGGTTTTTTTCTTCTTTTTTTTTTCCCCTTATTTACAGCTTCAACCATTTCCCAGTGAACATAACACACTGCGACTCATAACAAGAACGTTTGGAATGTGGTGCATGCGATGCAGCAACTGGCCTGGCCATGAGCAGCGCACCTTTCTTTAGGCGCCTCAAGAAGAGCAGCGCACCTACCTGGTCAACGTTTTCAATGCGGTCAATGCAGAGAGCCATGGCTGCTGCATGGTTGCCCATGCGCTGCAACAGATACACCATCGCCCCCACCTCGCCCCTCCTCTCACACACCCTGTACGCCTGGGGAAGGAAAATTGTGATACGAGTGTGAAATGGGGACGGATCTGAAGGCACGTAGGAAGGACAGGAGAGGCGGATGGTGTGGGGGAAGGGCGTGGGAGGATGGATAATGTGGGGCGAGAGAAGGGGAGACAAGGACGTGCCTTGCAGTGCCGCCCTTTAGTTTTTGGCCTACAGCCTTGCAGCAAAACAAGCAGAGAGGCTAGTGGAGAGACGAGTGGAGAGACAAGTGGAGAGACGAGTGGAGAGACGAGTGTAGACGAGTGGAGAGACGAGTGGGGGGGAAGCAAATACCATGTCAAGGGAGTAGTTGGTGGTGCTGTGAAAGGAGAGAGTAAGTATGCTTGTACCATGCTCAAGTTGGTGGTGGTGTGAGACGAATACCATGTCAAGCGAGTAGTTGGTGGTGCTGTGCAGGAAGGGCAGCAGATTGCGAGGGTCGAGCATCGTGTATAGGAGCAGCTGAAGGGGGGGGCGGAGGGAAGGAAGCGAGAAGCTGGTGGTGAGGGAGAAGTACTGTGGCGAGATTGGTGAGAGGGAACAAAGAAAGCCTCTTGCAGAGTAGAAAATGGAATCGAACCCTTTTTCTCTTGTAGCAAGCGACACGCCACAGTGCATGTGGTGAGGGAGATGTATTGTGGTGAGAGGGAACAAAGAACGGAAGGCAGCAGATTGCGAGGGCCCAGCATCTGCTGCTCCTGCCTTCCTGAAGGGGCAGAGAGGAGCAGAGGGGAGATGCAGAGGAGCAGAGGGAGATGCAGAGGAGCAGAGGGAGATGCAGAGGAGCAGAGGGAGATGCAGAGGAGCAGAGGGAGATGCAGAGGAGCAGAGGGAGATGCAGAGGAGCAGAGGGAGATGCAGAGGAGCAGAGGGAGATGCAGAGGAGCAGAGGGAGATGCAGAGGAGCAGAGGGAGATGCAGAGGAGCAGAGGGAGATGCAGAGGAGCAGAGGGAGATGCAGAGGAGCAGAGGGAGATGCAGAGGAGCAGAGGGAGATGCAGAGGAGCAGAGGGAGATGCAGAGGAGCAGAGGGAGATGCAGAGGAGCAGCTGAAGGGGAGGGTTTGAGGGAATGAGGGAAGGCGGGGGTGGTGAAGGGGAGGGTTGTGAGGGAGATGTAGCGTGGCAAAAGAGAGGGAACATTGAGGGAAACACATGCACTGTGGTGTGATGTGTGACGTGGGAAGAAGAAAGGCAGGAGATTGCCTGAGTCAAGCATTCTTTAGAGGAGCAAATGAAAGAGAGAATTCTGAGACGTCTCAAAAATCGCATGGGGATTCATAATTCATTCACACGCCTCTCACCTCACCAGCCTGCATGCGTGCAGTGCATGTGGGGGTGCACAGGACAGCAGCGCACCTGAATGGGGTGCCATGGCTGTGTAAGCGCGGCATCACACACAAAGAGCTCATGCAGATACATGTGTAACCACACCCCCACTGCTCTGCTCTGCACTCCTGAGATGACTCAAAAGTCAGCGCACCTGAATGGGATGCCACGGCTGTGTGAGTGTGGCATCACACACAAAGAGTTCATGCAGATACACGTCTAACCACACCCCCACCGCTCTGCATTCCAATGCTACCCCTTGCTCCGCCCCTATCATCCCCCTCACCATCTCCCTCTCCTCCCCCTCCAACCACCAACTCCTCTTTCTCCTCTTCGTCCTATTCCCGCCTTCCCCCCTCCTCGCCTTCTCCTCCCCTCCTCTCTCTTTTCCCTCTGCTGATGTACCCTCTCGCCCCTCTCCCCCTCTCCATCCCCATCTCACTGCCTCCTCCTCCTCCTCCCCATGACCGTCCCCCCCATTCTCACCCCTCTCGTCGTCTATCTCACACTCACACCATAACGTTTCCCCTGCTCCACTCACTCCTCCCCTATCCCCTTCACTCTTGACCCACGTAGGCTGGCTGTTTCCCCCCCCTGCTCCCTCCCCTCTAACCACAGAACTTAAGTCCCACCCACCAGCAACACTCCCTGTACTCTCCTCCCTTCCTTTCCCCTCCAACAACCCCACATCCTTCCCCCCTTCCTCTTTCCTCTCTTGCACTTCCTCCACTTTCCGTTCCTCCCCTTCTCCTAATCTCCTCTCCTCCCCCCGTCCCTCCAATCTTCCCTCCTCCTCTTCCCCCAACCTTCTCTCCTCCCCTTCCTCTCGTCTCCGTCGCAGTGTGTCGTGTGCGTGTGTGCGCAGCAGCGAGAGGTGGGGAAAGATGGAGGAGGGGGGGAGCAGCGAGGGGTGGTGGGCGAGAAAGAGGAGGATGCGGGAGGGATCAAGCTGCAGAAGCAGGGGCAGCTGCACAAGGGGGAAACGAGGGGGGTGGGTTGGAGAGGAGTGGGATTGTTAGAACATAGGTTGTGGGGAGGGTGGATTGGTTGGGCGGTATGTGGTGGGCGAGAAAGTGGAGGATTTGGGATGGGACCAGCTGCAGAAGCAGGGGCAGTTGCAAAGGGGGGAATGAGGGGGGTGGGTTGGGGTGGAGGCGGGGAGTAAAAAACGTGGGTTGGTTGGGGTGAGTTGGCGGTATGTTCTAAAGAGAGCAACAAGAGTTGTATAAGACGCTTGGGGGAGCATAGGGGGTCACAAAAGGTAGGGGATGTGGGCAGAATGAGAGTAAAAAGGGAGTTAGACGGAGAGCAGGAACTTGGATTGGAAGGAGCATACAGGGAGTTTGAAGGTGGGGGAGAGCGGGAGGAAGGGGAGAGGGGAAGGAAGGGGAGAGAGGGAGGAAGGGCAGGCACCTGGGAGGCAATGAGAGGAGAGAAGGGCTGGCAGGAGATGAGATGCAAGACTGTGTTGGTGCGATCGGTGTTGGTGCGGTCTGATAGAGCTGCCTGCACAGGGGTGGAGGAGATGGGGGGAAGGAATGAGGCGGGAAGGAATGAGGGAAGGGCGGAATGAGGAGAGAGACCGGCGGAGTGAAGGCATTACGAATGATTTTGTTGCTGAATGAGACTTAAAGTGAATTCTTGAGGTATGCTGTTGCGTGGACAGGAAAAAGAAACACTACTGTCTATGCAAGCAAGAATGAAGGTTACACGAAACATGTTCACCAGACCAGAATGTCATGGAGCAGTGCAGAGGAGTGGAACGGAGTGCAGAGGAGTGAAGAGGAGTGCAGTGGGGTGAAGCGGGGTGCAGTGGAGCAGTGGGCGTACCAGGATGTAGTAGTGCAGAGCATCGGGGAACTGCTGGGAGCGCATGCACAGCTCTGCCACTGCCTAGTATGGGTAGGCAGGGCGAGATAGAGAAGGAGAGAGTGGGGAGCAGGACAGTAATCTTTTGAGTCAACTCTACCAGAGTCAGCCATTGAGAGCGCATGCATAGCTCTGCCACTGCCTAGTATGGGGTATGGGAATGCCAGGCGAGACAGAGACGGGAAATAAGGAGAATTTTGAGTCGACTCAACACTCACTTAGTGAGGCCTAGTACCCCGTGCCTATACCAAGATGCCCCTCTTATCCCTCCTACCCTTCCCACCACCTCCCATCCCCTCCAATCCTTTCCCATCCACCGCCCCTTTTTCCCCGCACCTCCAGCAGTGGCGTGGATGCCTGGCCCTCCCACTCCTTGGCTCCTCTAGTGAGTGCCTGGTGCCTCTGAACTGCCTTCCCCAGCACGTCTCGCATGCTGTACAGGCGGTGCGGCCATGTGCGGATGGAGGAAAGGAACAGAGGGTGGTCTGACGGGGAGAGCAGCAGGGACGATAGCACCATCTGTAAAGACAGGGCACGGAGAGCAGAAGCGGAGAGCAGAGGTTCAGGGGGGGGGCGAGGAGGGGGGTCGGAGAGTTTTGGGATGTTAGAAAAATAGAAAAAAATAGAAAAATAGAAAAACTAGAAAAATAGAAAAATCTGATCGGATGTGGAGAGCAGGAGGGACGATAGAAAAATCTGTAAACACAGGGGACGGAGGGTGGGGAGGAGGGGCGGTTGCTGGTGGTGTCTGTGGCTCGTGCAGGTGCACCTTTCATGGATGGTCATGGAACAAAATGGGGAAGGGGGAGCAGGAAAAAGGGACAGCAGAGCAAGTTGACTTTTGAGTCGACTCAAAAGTCTGTGGCTCATGCAGGTGCACCTAGGGATGAGCAAGGGGCGAACACGAACATGTTCGTGTTCGCCCCTACACGAACACATCCGTTTGCCGAACCGAACACTGTTCAGTTCGGCGAACACTTTTAGCAAAAACAGGTGTTCGCCGTTCACCTGTGAAGGCGTGTTCGGGCGAACCTCGAACACGTTCGTGTTCGTCGCGGGGCAAATTGCAGCAGCGGCCCGAACACGAACGTGTTCGGGCGAACCTCGAACACTGTTTGGCGAACACTTTAAGCAAAAAAAGCAAACCCGTTCGAGACGAACCGAACAGGTGTTTGTTTTTTTGCTCAACCCTAGGTGCACCTTTCATGCATGGATGGTCATGGAACAAAATGGGGACGGGGGAGCAGGAAAAAGGGACAGCAGAGCAGCAGGAGAGGCGAGGGAGCAGTTACCTCGTAAACAGCTGGTCCCAGCTGGGGCGAGTCGAAGGGTATGTGCGGCACGAGGGCTGGCAGACAGCGCATCTGAGCGAATGTGAACACCCACCTGCATGCATGCATGCCGGCAGACAGGCAGGGGGACAGGGCAAGGGCAGGCAGGCAGGCAGACACGCAGGCGGGCAGGCGGGCGGGTGGGCGTGCGGGCGCGCAGAATGAGTATAGCCAGGAAGCAGGAGGAGAACCGGGAGGAGGGAGAGAGGAAATCGTCAGGGGTTATTTTTGAGACGTCCCAAACGAACTTATTATCACAGGGAGACAGGAAATTGTCAGGGGATACGGGGACTAGTTCGGGAAAAGACTATCGCCAAAAAGTGTGAAAGTATCATAAGCGCACAAAAGAAAGAGGAGAGGGGCTGAAAGGAGGTTCGCAGATTAGAGCAGCAGCAAGGGATGAGCGACGAGGGATGAAGAATGAAATATGAGAGTGAAAGGGAGGAGGCATGCTCAGAGAGAGGCGAATCAAAGAGAAGGAGAAGCATAGAGGGAGGCACAGACCTCTCCCAGGCTGTGGTGTTGGATCCGAGCAGCTTGCAGCGACATTGTTTCTACACAAAGAAGAGGGTAGGGGGAGAAGAAGAGAGCGAGAGCCCGCGAGCGGGAGCGGGAGCGATGGACAGACCTCTCCCAGGCAGTGGTGTTGGATCCGAGCAGCTTGGGGCACAGCGCTGCTGCTTGGGCGTACTTGCGCTGCAGTACTAGATGGTCTAGATAACGCCACCCCACCTGATGGGGTGTTGTTGTTGTGGGGGAAGGTAAGTGGAAGGGGGGAGGCAGAGGGCAGCTTGGGGCACAGCGCTGCTGCTTGGGCGTACTTGCGCTGCAGCACTAGATGGTCTAGATAGCGCCCCACCCCACCTGACGGATTTGGGGAGGGAGGGTGGGTGGAGAAAGGGGGGGAAGGGAGGGGTTTTGGGGAGTGGAGTGGAGAGGCAGGGAGGAAAGGCAATCTTTGCTTTTCTTTTCTATGTTGGTGAAGCAGCAAGTATCAGCTTTGAGAATTCGTAAATGCGATACAAGGGAGCAGGTGATAATGCTGAACAGAGGAGGCTACAGCAGCTGAAATGACGTTGTTACTCACCTCTGGCACATACCTCACCTCACCTCACCTCACCTCACCTCACCTCTTGAACAAGTCTGTTCTCCGCAACCACATCTCCATTCCTCCCACTCGCACTCCCTGCCTGCCCTTCCCCATCCGCCTCTCCACCCACTCCCCCTCCTCTCTCCCCTCCTGGCCCCCCTCCGCTGCCTCGTGCTGCCTGCTCTGCTGCCTCTAGTGCTGCCTGCACTCTCCCATGCGCCAGCAGCCATTGTACGTGATCCTGGGCGTCACTGGGAGAACACAGAGGAAAGGGAATGCAGAGAGGGGGGAGGAAAATATGGTTGCTGCCTGCACTCTCCCATGCGCCAGCAGCCATTGTACGTGATCCTGGGCGTCACTGGGAGAACACAGAGGAAAGGGAATGCAGAGAGGGGGGAGGAAAATATGGTTGCTGCCTGCACTCTCCCTTGCGCTGACAGCCATTGCACGTGGTCCTGGGCGTCACTGGGAGAACAAAGGTGCAGATGCAGGGGAAGGGGCAGGGAAAGGATAGAAAGCGGGCGGGAGGAAGGAAATGGAGAGGGGAGAGAAGGACGGTTGCTGCCTCTAATGCTGCCTGCACTCTCCCGTGCGCTAATAGCCATTGCACGTGGTCCTGGGCGTCACTGGGGGAGGAGAGGTGCAGTGGGGCAGAGGCAGGAGGAAGGGGATGCAGGGGGGAGGGAGGAAGCTTTGGTTGCTGCCTGCACTCTCCCTTCCGCTGACAGCCATTGCACGTGGACCTGGGCGTCACTGGGTGAAGAAAGGTGCAGTGGCAGGGTTAAGGACAGCGGCAGGGGCAGGCAATAGTGAGGGGGAGTGAGTGGAAAAGTGACGGGGGCATGTGATGGGAGTGTGAGAAGGACTGCACGAGTGAGTGGGGGAGCGAAGAGTGAGATTGAGGGCGAGAGAGGAGAGAGGAGAGAGGAGAGAGGAGAGAGGAGAGAGGAGAGAGGAGAGAGGAGAGAGGAGAGAGGAGAGAGGAGAGAGGAGAGAGGAGAGAGGCGAGAGGAGAGAGGAGAGAGGAGAGAGGAGAGAGGAGAGAGGAGTCTCACCAAGGTCTAGCTACAAGCACGTCGAATGGGCAGAGGATGACAAAGCACGGCTCGCTGCCTGCATGCCACTGCGCCCCCTGCATGCTGCTGCCTGCAGTGCCACATGGTGGGTTGGGTTAGGGGGTGGGGGATGCGAGACCGGCGATCAGGGTTACAGCTTAGTGGCTTCAAAAATAGTGGAGAACTGGCCACAACGGAACATAGAGCCAGGGCTATCGTGCCAGGCAGGCAGCCTAAGCAGAACAAACAAGGGTGAGGGGCAAGAGTGTACCGACTTTTGAGACGTCTCAATAATAGGTGGCAGGCAGGCAGCCTAAGCAGAACAAGGGTGAGGGGCAAGAGTGTACCGGAAAAGGGCGAGTGGGCGAGGGCGAAGTGTGTGAGGGCGGTGTGTTGGAAGCCATGCAGGGGCAGCGCGTCACACATGACCTCCTGGTTGCGCAGTGTAAGCATGCGCAGCTCAGGGGGAGAAGGTTGCAGGGGAGATGCTTGCTGGGGGGATGGGTGTTGGATTGAGGTGGACACGGACTCGAGAGGTGGAACAGATGTGACTGATGGGAGTGGTGAGGGTGCAGGGAGGGATGAAGTGTCCCGGGTGGATGCAGGAGGGGGGTCTTGGTTCGTGAGCGTGGCGGCCGGAGATTGGAGGGGAGTTTGGGTGGATGGGGCGAGTGGAGGAGGGGAAGAGGAGGAGGAGGAGGAGGAGGAGGAGGAGGGCGGCGGCTGCGAGGTAGGGAACGGACAGGAGAGCACAAGCAGGCGGTCAGCATAGGGAGCGAGGCCAGCTATCAGATGCTCCACTCGCAGCACCGCCAGCACTGCCAGGTATCGTGCTGCTGCCGCTGCTGCTGCTGCAGCTGGTGGTGGTGGTGATGCTGCTAATGCTGCTGAAGACCCAGCAGGGACAGCAGCGGTTGTGTTACTGCTGCTGCTGGGAGTGGCGGCGGCAGTGGTGTTGATGGTGGGAGAGGTGGTGGTGGCGGGTGTTGCTGCTGCGGTGGCAGCAGGAGGTGCAGAGGAGCGAGTGCGAATGGCAGCGATCTTTATCGTGTCCGCCCACCCTATAGCAAGCGTAGTCTCGTCCTGATGTCGTGCATGCCATCGCATGCCATGCCATGCCATGCCATGCCATGCCATCCCATTCCATCCCATGCCATCCCATGCCATCCCATGCCATGCCATGTAATGCCACACAGCAAAAACACCCACATCATAAGCATAGCGTGCTGTCCTAGAATAACTTTTGAGGCGCCTCAACGAGCCTCAAACTGAGTACATGCCATCCAACAAGACAACAGACAAACAAGCACCACCAGACAGCTTGTGTGAAACATCAAACAAAAAGAAGCAGCAGCAGCAGCAACAGCAGCAGCAGCAGCAACAGCAGCAGCAGCAACATCAACAGCAGCAGCAGCAACAGCAGCAGCAGCAGCAACAGCAGAAGCAGCAACATCAACAGCAGCAGCAGCAGCAACAGCAGCAGCAGCAGTAGCAACAGCAGCAGCAGCAGCAGCAGCAGCAGAAGCAGCAGCAGCAGCAGCAGCAGCAGCAGCAGCAGCAGCAGCAGCAGCAGCAGCAGCAGCAGCAGCAGCAGCAGCAGCAGCAGCAGCAGCAGCAGCAGCAGCAGCAGCAGCAGCAGCAGCAGCAGCAGCAGCAGCAGCAGCAGCAGCAGCAGCAACAGCAGCAGCAGTAGCAGCAGCAGCAGCAGTAGCAGGGGCGTACCATCCAGAAGACATGTGGGCGGGAGTCAATCCCGGCAGTGAGGTTGGAGCGAGGGCGGTCGATGTGAGCGAGGGGCATGGAGGAGGCAAGGCAGAAGAGCTTGATGCCCCGCTCGTTCGCCCACAGCAGCACCGTGCCGTGCCACACTATGCACGTGATGGCGCCCTCCCCTGCATGCAGCACCTGGGGTGGGGGGGACGAGATAGGAAACCCTAAACCCAGTGAACCAATCTACATGGCTGGCATTGTGACTTGACTTTTGAGCCGACTCAAAAGAGATACGAAACCCTAAACACAGTGAACCAATCTACATGGCTGGCACCATGACTGGCATGACAGCAAGCTAGTGCAGGAACGGTCGACCAGTGACCTAGTGCAAGCATGATCAAACCCACCTCTTCTCCCCTTCCCCCCTTCCCCCCTTCCCCCTTGGCACCTGATCTGACCTCCCCAGCCAACCCGTGGTATTGAGCACCAGCTCTCCACCCTCCCCGCCTCCTGAGTTGACTCAAAACTGCTAGGACCTCCCCCTTCCCCTATCCCGTCTCTCTTCCCCTCCATCCCCTCGCCCCTTCCTTCCTCCTTTCTTCGCACCTGATCCGAAGCCCCCAGCCACCCTTTCGAATTCAGCACCAGCTCTCCAGCCTCCCCGCCCGTGGCAAACTGCCAGGACCTTCCCCTACCGCATCCCGCTACTCTTCCCCTCCCTCCTCCCTCCCATCCCTCCCCTTTCTCCCATCGCACCTGATCTGACGCCCCAAGCCACCCCTTGGAGTTCAGCACCAGCTCTCCAGCCTCCCCGCCCGTGGCAAACTGCCTTGACCGGCGGGAGGAGCCAAAGGAGGGGTGCAGAGCGAGGGCGAGGAGTGGGAGGCGGTACTTCAACAGGAGACAGTCCGGGGAGAAGAGGCCGTGGATGGCGAGGGAGCCGTCGTGAGCGCACGAGGCGATGTGGTTCACTGATTCGTCGAACACCACTGCTCGCACTGGCGCCTTGTGTGAGTCGTACTGCTTCACCTGGTTGTGTGTGGGTGAGGAAGAGGAGAGAACGGCGGGCCAGGGGCAGCAGCGGGGGACAGGGGGGTGGGGGAAGAACAGAGGCGATGTGGTTCACTGACGCATCGAACACCACTGCTCGCACCGGCGCCTTGTGCAATTCGTACTGCCTCACCTGGACGGGTGGGGGAGAGGAAGTTGGGGAAAGAGGAGGGGGGGGGGGAAGGGGGGGGGGGCGCAAGGAACAGGGAGAGGGCGGGGCGGGGAGGGGGGGAACAGGGGCAGGAGGAACAGGCTGGGGCGGGATGGAGGGGAGCAAGACAGGGAGACAGCCCAGAGTGACAGCGCAGGGAGGGAAGAGGGAAGACAGGTGGGGGGCAGAAGGGAGCGAGGAGGACAGGAGAGAGGCGGGAGAGAGGCGGGAGAGAGGCGGGAGAAGGCGGAAGAAGGCGGGAGAAGGTGGGAGAGAAGCGGGTGTGGCGCACCTGGTTGCCGAGCAAGTGGAGTGCACGCACACAGCCGTCAGACGTGCTTACGGCGCCTCAACAACCGAGAAAAGGGAGGGAGGGGGGCGGGGGAGGGGCAAGTGCGCACACACCTGGTTGCCGAGCAGGTCGAGCACATGCACGCAGCCATCGGACGTGCCCAGCGCCAGCATCTTATCAGACACAGACACGCACGTCGCCTGTACGCCACCACGCACTATCTGCGGCACGTCGCCTCCTAGCCGCTGGTACTTAAGTATCGGCTCCTCTTCCTCTTCCTCTTCGTCCGCCGCTTCCTCTGCTTCCTCTCCGCCCTTCTCTCTCCTCGATCCCGCCTTTCCACCCGCTCCCCTCTCTTCACCCTCTCCCCCCGCTTCCCCCTCGTCCCCCTTTCCCCCCGCTTCACGGTTTATTGATACCGCGCCCTCTCTTTCTTCTTCGGCTTTCCGCCGAGATCCCCGATCGTCCCGCGCATTCTGCTCTCCCCCCACTCCCGCCTGCGCCTCCCCCACCACCCCCGCGGGGTGGTTCCCTGCCATCCGCGACAAAATCTCCGCAAATCGTTCCGCCACCGCGCCCTCTAGCGCCTTTTCCGCCTTGGCGCTTTCGGAAGGCGCGGCAACCGCTCCGCCGTGGCGCGCTACAGCTGCCCCCTCCCCGCTGCTCCGCTCCGCGAGACGCGCTGGCGCTGCGTCTGTAGCAAGGCGCGCGTCTGTAGCGCGGGCTGCTACAGCCGTTAGCGCTGCTGCCCCCGCGGCGCCATTTTCTGCGCTGACGTACGCGCGCACTGCCGGTGAGTGACGATGGTGAGGATGCTGATGAGGCTGATGTTGTTCGTGCCCATACTCATGCGCGAGCCCCGCCGAAGACGCTGCGGAGACTACACGCGGCATTCGCGCTACGAACGATACCCGATACGGTCTAAGCTTGTAAAAAAACGGCGTCGAATCGCGACGGTTGGAGACCGAAACGATGCGAGTGCGGGGAAACGAGGCGTGGTGAGGGCCTGACTGCAACGAGGCTGCATCGTACAGTCGCAGCGATACCGGTGTGTGTACTACCCGGACGAAGCTCTAACAAACAGCGTGCATGCCGCCGTGCGATGCCGCAACCACACGCTCCCGCGAACGTCGCAAGGGTTGTTTGTTACATAAGCGAAGCGTCGCCAGCATAAGGAATCTATCGGGTACGATGTTATGTCGGAGTTGGTCAACAGGCGGATTGATAAGGCAAGGGTGTCTTCCTCACAAATTGTTCCCGCTACAGCTACAAAGGTGACAAGCTGCACAATTCCAATACATAAACAAATATCTTCCATGGATGACTTGTGTGTCATAAGATTGAATGAAAATTAGCCTAAGTAGGAAGCCATTCTGAAGACAACCCCAATGTTTGTAAAGGAAAATTGTATTACCGTAACACTTGCAACATGACCTCGTTGTGCTAAAACATTGCTAGGCTGTGAGGTGGTTCTTGCTCAGGTTTTGAAATTATGGTATGCTTGTTAGGGTTTCAATTTAAGAGAATAAGAGCAGCATTATGCAGTATTAATTCCAAAATAATCCCGTGCAAATCAATGCATCAATAGGCAGTAGTCGCTACTACGGAAACAAGTCAGTCAACCCCCATGCTGCAGACAATAATGTAATGAGAGCCAGTTTATGCAGCAGTTATAGATGTACTAAATAGTAATGTATCCATGGCTGCAGACATTTATAAGAGGCACTAATCACTAGTACGGAAACAAGTATGGCACCCGTGCTGCAGACCATTATAAGAGACTCCGCGGCAAATGCTTCCCCGCTACCGCTCCACGTCTACTTGAGGGGAACGAGGACGTTGCTAATCTCGTAGCAGATAGCCGTGGGGTCCTGGAACAGCACCTTGGTGATGTTCGCCAGCTGCGTGCCCTGCTGCGCGAATTGCGGGCCCAAGCTAATGGTCTTGCCGGCGCCCTGATACTTCTGAATCTGGCCGTTGGTGCGGAATGTGGAGTATCCCTGGCCAACCTTGTCCTTCACGAAGCGCGGGGGCAGGGCTTGGAAGTTAAGCATGTGGTTCTTCAGAAGGTCCTGGAGGGTGGTCGCGCTCTTCGCCCAAGGCGTCTGCGCGGCGCAACAAGGCACGAGCACGGGTTGTCAGAACGGCATGGGCAGAGGAAGATCCGAAGAAGCGTGAGCGACGTGCGAAGGACCGATCGCGAAGAGATTTTGCGAAGCGTGTCTGAGAGTCCGTACGAGAGTTAATTAAACGAGACAAAAGTGGGTAAGTCATTCCATTAGTTTAGCAGCGAGGGAACTTACCAGGATGGTAGCCTTTTGAACCTTGAACGCCGCGTTTGATGGCACTAAGGAGGTGAAGCCAGTGGTGGAGGTGGAGAGGTAGTCCGTGATCCACTTGGTGCCTGCGCGCCACAAAAACGTCTGCTTCGGTTAGATCACGCGGAAGAGTGCTTCGAGGAGTTTCGACGTTGCGGAGACTTACGGATTTCGCGGTAAAAAAACAATTGCCTCGCAAAACCGAGGGAAGAGAAGGTGAGTGTCATTGAAGGAGTCTACAAACCTGCTTTGTTGACGATGGATAGATAGGTGCTGTGCTGGCCTCCCTTCTGTAGGGCCTGGGTGATGAGAGTCCACTGAAGCGTTCCATCGCGAACCACTTTCGCCGACACACACGCGGCGCACGACAGCGCTAGGACGAGTAAAGCGATGAAGGAAACGCGAGCCATGATCAAGTGCTGGGGTACAGGAACCGAAAGCAAGAGAGGCTGAAGTGAAGAGTACTCGAGTTACAAGAGAGCTATGATCAAATTTGAGTATGAATTGAAAAGCAAGTGCCGCCGACTTTGTACCACGGAGGCTGCATATCACGTGTTCTTGACATGTGTTGGCCCGAATTCGTGGATTCACGGGGTGCCTTCTGCCTCCGCACCGCCATCATGTCGAGCGTCGCGCGGTTGTCCAATGGTTGTCCGTGTGTTGAGCATCGCTGCGATGATAATCCCTTGCTCTTTGCAACGAATCGTGCCGCGAAACTCGTTGTAGCTTGTCCCGTCACTGCAAGTTGAAGCTTTCAGGAGGGTTAAGTCTATTTATAAGTCCTAACCAATTTTAGTTAACATAAAGTATTAGGGAAAATTACAATACGGTCATCTACCAATGAGCATTTAAACACATTTCATTCCGCTATCCTGAGGGAAATCCCCATAAAAATGGGAATTTTTTTATGTTCAGAGACAAAGATATATAAAGCGGCCAAAATGAGTCAGCCAGAACCAGCACAGATTGTGGCCATCTCCTGTTCCTCATCTCCCGTTCCCCATCTCCCGCTCCCCATCTCCCGTTCCCCATCTCCCGTTCCCCATCTCCCATTCTCCATCTCCCATTCTCTATCTCCCATTCCCCATCTCCCATTCCCCATCTCCCATGCCCCATCTCTGATGCCCCCTCTCCCATTCCCCATCTCCCATGCTCCATCTCTCATGCCCCACCTCCCATACCCCATCTCCCATGCCCCATCTCTCATTTCTCATCTCCCATGCCACACCTCCCATGCCCCATCTCCCATGCCCCATCTCCCATTCCCCATCTCCTATGCCCCATCTCTTATGCCCCCTCTCCCATTCCCCATCTCCCATGCTCCATCTCTCATGCCCCACCTCCCATGCCCCATCTCCTATGCCCCAACTCCCATTTCCCATCTCCCATGCCACACCTCCCATGCTCCATCTCCCATGCACCATCTCCCATGCCCCATCTCCCATGTCCCATCTCCCATTCCCCATCTCCCATTCCCCATCTCCCATTCCCCATCTCCCATTCCCCATCTCCCATGCCCCACCTCCCATGCCCCACCTACCATGCCCCGTCCCACATGCCCCATCTCCCATGCCCCATCTCCCATTCCCCATCTCCCATTCCCCATCTCCCGTGCCCCATCTTCCATTCCCCATCTCCCATTCCCCATCTCTCATTCCCCATCTCCCATGCCGCATCTCCCATTCCCCATCTCCCATTTCCCATATCCCATGCCCCATCTCCCATGCCCCATCTCCCATTCCCCATCTCTCATGCCCCATCTCCCATTCCCCATCTCCCATGCCCCATCTCCCATTCCCAATCTCCCATGCCCCATCTCCCATGCCCCATCTCCCATTCCCCATCTCCCATTCCCATTTACTACTTTCTCACTTGGTATTTCCGTTTCAATCCATACATTTTGCAAGACATGAGCATACCAACCAAACTGACTAATGCATCACTTTGATTGGCCATACATATTGGATGTTCTATGTTTTAGCTTGGTTCACTAGATTTGCCATAGCACACCTGTCACCATCACACACCTGTCACCATCACACACCTGTTACCATAACGCACATGCTACCGTAACACACCAGATACCATAACGCATCGGTTACCATAATGCACCCCTGCTACCATAATGCAACTGTTACCAGAATGCACTTGTTACCATAACGCACCTGTTACCACAACGCACATGTTACCATAACGCACTTGTTACCATAACGCACCTGTTACCAAAACGTACCTGATACCATAACGCACCTGTCACCATAACGCACTTGTTACCATAACGCACTAGTTAACATAACGCATGTGTTACCATAATGCACCTATCACCATAACGCACCTGTTACTATAACACACCTGTCACCATGACGCACATGTCACCATGACGCACTTGTCACCATAACCCATCTGTCACCATAACGCACGCACATATTACCTGTAACGCACATGTTACCATAACGCACATGTTACCATAGCGCACCTGTTACCATAGTGCACCTGTTAACATAACGCACATGTTACCATAACGCAGCTATTACCATCACTCACCTATTACCATAACGCACATGTACCACAACGCACTTGTTACCATAAGGCAACCGTGACCATAACGCATCCGTTAACATAACGCACTTGTTACCATAATGCACCAGTTACCATACCGCACTTGTTACCATAACGCACCTGTTGCCATAACGCACATGTTACCATAACGCACATGTTACCATAACGCACCTATTGCCGGGGCCGAGGGGCCGAGCTAGGGGCGACGGGGTCGACGGGGCCAAGGGGCCGAGGCAGGGGCTAGGGGCGACGGGCGCGGGGCCTAGGGGCAACGGGCGCGGGCCTAGGCTAGCAGGGCAGTAGGTGGTGGGCCCAAACAACAAACCGGTCCTAGGGGACCTGCTCTGAAACCATGTTAGAATGTTGTGAACGAGGATGAATGAACTAGCAAAGAGTTGGGTACAAGTACTAACCCTAATTGGGTTGTACCCCTTACGGGCTACCCCACTATAGCCTACACAAATGTAAAAGCTATAATGTTCTGACAGTGCTATAGTAACAGGTGCATTATGGTACCATGTGCGTTATGGTAATAGGTGCGATATGGTAACAAGCGCATTATGGTTACATATGCGTTATGGTAACAGTTGCGTTATGGTAATATGTGCATTATGGTAACACCCGTCGCCCCTAGCCGCGGCCCCGTCGGCCCCGTCGCCCCTAGCTCGGCCCCGTTGGCCCCGTCGCTTCGTCCCCTTGGCCCCGTCGCCCCTAGCCGCGGCCCCGTCGCCCCTAGCTCGGCCCCCCTCGGCCCCGTCGCCTCGGCCCCTTGGCCCCGTCGCCCCTAGCCGCGGCCCCGTCGACCCCGTCGCCCCAACCTCGGCCCCTCGGCCTCGTCGCCTCGGCCCCTTGGCCCCGTCGCCCCTAGCCGCGGCACCGTCGACCCCGTCGCCCCTAGCTCGGCCCCTCGGCCCCGTCGCCTCGGCCCCTTGGCCCCGTCGCCCCTAGCCGCGGCCCCGTCGCCCCTAGCTCGGCCCCTCGGCCCCGTAGCCTCGGCCCCGCGGCCCCGTCGCCCCTAGCTCGGCCCCGTTGGCCCCGTCGCCTCGGCCCCTTGGCCCCGTCGCCCCTAGCTTGGCCCCGTCGGCCCCGTCGCCCCTAGCTCGGCCCCCCCTCGGCCCCGTCGCCTCGGCCCCTTGGCCCTGTCGCCCCTAGCCGCGGCCCCGTCGACCCCGTCGCCCCTAGCTCGGCCCCTCGGCCCCGTCGCCTCGGCCCCGCGGCCCCGTCGCCCATAGCTCGGCCCCTCGGCCCCGTCGCCTCGCCCCTTGGCCCCGTCGCCCCTAGCCGCGGCCTCGTCTGCCCCGTCGCCTCTAGCTCGGCCCCTCGGCCCCGTCGCCTCAGCCCCGCGGCCCTGTCGCCCCGTCGCCTCGGCCCCTCGGCCCCGTCGCCTCGCCCCCCCCCCCCCCCCCCCCCCCTGGCCCCGTTGGCCCCGTTGGCCCCGTCGACCCCGTCGCCCCTAGCCACGGCCCCGTCGGCCCCGTCGCCCCTAGCTCGGCCCCTCCACCCAGTCACCTCGGCCCCTTGGCCCCGTCGCCCCCGACCCCGTCGCCCTAGGCCCTAAGCCCCTCGGCCCCTCGTTCCTAGGCACCAAGGCCCCTCGGCCCCTCGCTCTTTGGCACCTCGGCCCCTCGCTCTTTGGCACCTCGGCCCCTCGGCCCCTTGGCCCCTCTTGTTTGGCCCCTCGGCCCCTCGCCCCTAGGCCCCTTGGCCCCCCCCCCCCCCCCCCCCCCCCCCCCCCTTGGCCTCTCGTGTTTGGCCCCTCGGCCCCTAGCACCTAGGCACCACGGCCCCCAAGGCACCTAGGCCCCTCGGCCCCTCGGCCTCTCGCCCCTAGGCACCAAGGCCCCTCGGCCCCTCGCCCCTTGGCCCTTCGGCCCCTTGGCCCCTCGTGTTTGGCCCCTAGGCCCAAGGCCCCTCGGCCCCTTGACCACTACTGCTGCTACTGCTGCTCCTGAGTACTGCGCCACTATGGCTTCGCTTCGAGTCCTAGCGTTCGATCATGAGGGCAGACCGGTTGCGTTTGACACGTGGCTCGACGATCTGCAACTGTACCTACTGAGTGATACTAAGGACAGTGTTTCGCTGTTTGACCACGTGTTCGGTGCCGCTACAGCCCCTCCCGCCACAGCTGACAGTGCGACTCGCTCACAGTGGCTTTCTCGCGACGCTGCTACCCACTTAGCCATTCGCAACCACCTGCCGGTGGCCGAATGCACTCACTTCGGACAGCACAGGACAGCTTAGGCACTGTACGACGCGGTAGTCACTCGCTACTCCTCCCCTGCCACTGCTGCTCTAGGCCGCCTGCTTCTGCCCTACCTGTTCCCCGAGCTATCTGCGTTTGCCAAAGTAGAGGACCTGGTTTCCCACCTGCGCGCTAGCGACGCTCGCTACCGAGCTGCCCTCCCAGCCGAGTTCCTTGCAGGGAACCCGCCCCCGATGTACATCCCTCTCTACTTCATAGTCACTCGCCTCCCTGACTCCCTTTGCTCAGTCAGGGACCACTTTCTCTCCCTTGACCCCACCTCCCTCACTGTTGAACTCCTCGAGCAGCATCTCCTCGTAGCTGAGACTAGTGCAGTTGCTGTAGGTGCTGCTCGTGGCACTCCGTGCCCGCCCTTCTTTGAGGGGTGCTCCCCCTCCCCCCTTGCCCCCTCCTACGCCTCTGCTGCTGCTGTAGACGTCTCTGTTGCTGAGGACGTCGTGGCTGCTTCTGCTAGTGCGAAGCGCCGCAGCAGCAAGGGCAAGGGTGGCAAGGGTGGTGGGGGTGGCAGCGGTGGTGGTGGAGGTGGCAGCGGGAGTAGTGGTGGGGGCAGCGGTGGAGGTGGTGGCGGCAGTGGGACTGGTGGAGGGAGTGGGGGTTCTGGTGGCGGCGGTGGGGGCAGCAGTGGGAGTGGCGGCAGTGGCGGCGGTGGGACTGGTGGTGGTGGGATTGGCGCTCGGCGTGTTGGTTCTAGAGGTGGCCAACGTCAGCAGCAGCAGCGTCGGAGCGAGACCCAGTCGCCCCAACAGCTTCGTGAGTGGTTGTTGCGTGGGGCGTCTGGAGGTAGCACCAACCTGACTCCTCTCCCTACACCTGTCCTGGTCAGACTGGCTGACCCCTCCGGGGGCCCGGTGGTGGCCCGTTCCTCCATTGTCCTCCCGTGTCCGGCGGTTCCGTCTGGCTCACTGTCACGTCTTCACCTCCCCTCGTTCTCTACGAACTTGGTGAGTACCACTGCCCTCCAGGATGCGATGGTCACAACGAGTACTCCTGGGGGTCAGCGTGTGTTGATCTTGTCAAACTTATATGCTATAGTCTGTTTAGGCTGTAGTGGGGTAGTTCTTATAGGGTACAACACTTTTAGGTTTTCTTACTTGTACCCACCTGCTGCCTAGTTCATTCATTCCTTCTGTTCATTCTGACATGGTATTCTGAGCAAGTTCCCCAGTGGGAACGTTTTTTTTAGGGCCCACCGAAATAGTAACCTTTTTTTTTCCTGCCCTGCCCGCAGCGCACTTCGCGCCTGCCCCTGCTGCCGACGCGGCCCCTTACTGCCGTCGCGGCCCCTAAGGCCGACGCGGCCCCTTGTGCCGACGCGGCTCATTTCTGCCGTCGCGGCCCCTATTGCCGACGCGGCCCCTAGTGCCGACGCGGCCCCTTCTTGCCGTCGCGGCCCCTCAGGCCGACGTGGCCCCTGCGGCCGTCGCGGCCCCTACTGCCGTCGCGGCCCCTACTGCCGTCGCGGCCCCTACTACCGACGCGGCCCCTGCCGCTGTTGCGGCCCCTGCTGCTGTTGCGGCCCCTACTGCCTGTTGCGGCCCCTGCTGCCGTCGTGGCACCTGCTGCTGTCGCGGCCCCGTCTGCCACTGCGGCCCCTGCTGCCGTCACGGCCACTGCCGTCACGGCCCCTGCTGCTGTCGCGGCCTCTGCTGTCGCGACCCCTGCCGTCCCAGCCCCTGCTGTCGCGGCCTCTGCAGCTGCGCCCCCCCCCCCCCTGCTGTAGCGGCCCCTCTGCTGCAGCGGCCCCCCCCTGCTGTTGCGGCCCCTCTGCTGAAGCGGCCCCTCTGCTGAAGCGGCCCCTCTGCTGCAGCGGCCCCTCTGCTGTCGCGGCCCCTCTGCTGACGCGGCCCCTACGGTCGCGCCCCTGGTAAGCCCCGCGCCCAACCCCCCCCTGCCGCGCTGCGACGCCCAGCCGAGCCGCGCTGCCCGGCCGAGCCGCGCCGCCCAGCCGAGCCGCGCCGCCCAGCCGAGCCGCGCCGCCCACCGAGCCGCGCCGCTCTGTCTAGCCGCGCCGCCCAGCCGAGC